ACTTGTAGATAATGTTTGTTGAATGAAGAGAAACCTCCAAGCTTGGATGTTGAGGTTGGAGCTTGGACCTTGGGTAGAAGAATACACCAATCTTGCTTGAAGCTTTAAAGTACATTAATCAAAAGGGAGGTACATGGTAGAATCTTGAGATCAACCATCCTTGATGATCTAGAAGTAAAACTATGTGGCACAAACTTCTCTAGAATTGGAGCATATGGCTATGAGCTTGGGTTGGGAGAGGTTGGTGGTGATGATGAAGCCTTAGGAGTTGGAGCATAAGGAGGAGGACTTGAGGTTGGCCTTGAGGGAGCTTGAAGAACTTGTTGAGAGTTTGGGTATGAAGTAGCATTGAAAAATATTAGTTTGAAGAAATGAAGAGGACCATTTTGTATTTGGTGGAGCTTGATGTTGGATGAAGGATGAGGAAATGATGAATGGTTGTGATTGGTTGAGTTGGATAAGATGGGGGTGATGAATGTGGCCTTGAAGTGAAGGCTTGGTGAAGAGAATGAATGTGGCCTTGAAGTTAAGGCTTGGTGAATGGGATGTATTTGGCTTTGATTTTAAGGCTTGGTGAGTGGAATGAATGTGGCTTGGATTGGAAGGCTTGGTATGGAATCTTTTGTTTGATTGGTGGATAATGGGATGAGAAAGATGATGAGGATAGGAGGAGAGTTGAGGTGGAGGATTGATATGTTTTGATTGGTAGGTTTTGCTGTCTGGAGATAGGAAGGGTGTGGTGGCGAGTGGGCATTTTCGCAAGATGCCTTTTGCATATTCGGATTTTGGCTGACGGGGAAATTGCGGCGAAAAATTTCGCCACGTGAAAAATTTCCCGCCACCCTGGTGCCACGCGAGCAGCAGCCACAGTTCACTGCAACACTTTGCGGCGCTGAGCACTCCGCTCCGCGCTGCACAGTGCGCTTCGCCCCGCGCGCCATTTTCCGCGTAGTATTTGGGGCAAATCGCCGCAAGCAGATGGCCATGGAACCACACACACATGATGCTTCGTTACTGGTCAAAATTTCATCACCAATCAGCTCGCGAAGATTGTTTTTGCTAGTGCGAAACAGTGAAACCAATAAAGACCGGAGTTTCGTGAAGTTCGCCGAACACCAAACTCCAAGGTCCCTCATCTCGGCTCACCATCACCCCATCCCATCCTCAAACCGACCCCATTGTCCTTTCACAGCCGCTCCCACCCCCCAGATCCAAATCTCACTAACACCTGCTCTGCCTCAGCCGCCCCCTCCCAAACATTTCACTGACTTCCAAGGTTCACCGCGAATCTCTAATATCCACCCAAGTTCCCGAGCAGCCGTTTGTTTACCGCCACCAACGGTCGCGTCTCGAAACCGTGTACATTCCGTGTGGAAATTGTTCATCGCCTATGCTTCGCGGCTCGAAACCGTGTGGGTTCCGTGTGGAAATTGCTCATCGCCTGTGCTTCCGCGCTCTCAATCCGTGGATAGCCACGAATATTTAGACAAGCAGATCATCCTCTTTCCTGTACTCCGATCTAGCAATCTAGCTTCTACGATGCTACCACGGCTTTCTCCGTTATGCCCTTCAATCTCCGTGTAACTCGCCTTCTGGGGAGGAGCTTCAGTCGGTTCAAGCTGCAACCTGCTCGTGCATGGGATGTCTTAAGTGCATGGGATTTCGCCAGCTCGAGCTCTTCACTTGCCCGTCGTTGACCTTTCCAGCTAAGTGTTCCTTCCACTACTGTCGAACTTTTCTTTTATATTTCCAGCTTTTTGTTCGTGCTGTTTATTTTGTTTTCCAGCCAAAGCGCCGCCTGTTCAGCTCCCTGTCTCCTACCCTAGGGTCTGGTTTAGCCTCTTTAGGTCGGTCTAGCGTCGGCGTCGCTAAGTCAAGCATAGGTGCGTCGGTCTGTCAGAGCTTTGCAGTGCGGTTGCTTTGGCTGGAAAACATTCCCCATTTCCCCACACACGACTTCACCGCTTTTGTCGTCTTTATGGTATCCCACTGTCACTTGAAACTGACTTTGTTGTTTTTTCTTCTAATGCATTCAGGTGTTCCTTCAATTATCTGGGAGTAGCCAAGGCATTAAGGATCGAAGATCAAGAGGATCAGCACTACAAGGCAGCGCTCCTCAAGCCAAGACTTCAAGTCAACTTTCAAGCCGAGATTCGAATCAACGCTCAAGACATGCAACCCCACGTGCAGACCGCTTCCCTCCTTGTTCCGCTCAGTATTATTTCCGTTCATCATGGTCATGACATTTGTTTCATGCTTGAGCGGCGCTTATCACAACTGCTGCATGTTCCATTCCCCCTGGTATATTTTTTTTCAAGGTAACCCTTTTCTGGTGAGACCCTAGGTGCTCTCTGGTATTTTTCTGGTACTTGGTTCATGTGGTTGTTGTGATAAGCGCTCTTGCTGTGTGCTGCATATTCATTCATGCCACTCATCATGCACATGCATGCTTGCCAACCTTGTTGGACCTTCCAGTGCTGCTTGTACTTACTACTCCCCCTTCTCCCTCTTTTGACTGGCAGAGGTCGTCCGCCAATTCCTTCAACCGCGTTGAAGCAGCAAGGTGCTCAACAGTCAACATTCAAGTCGTGGAGCCAAATCTGTACAACGTCAACAGTTCAAGAAAAAGCTAAGTATCACGCGCCCTTGACTTCTCTTTCATTGTTTCCTGTTGGTAATGTTTCTGCTCTTTCAGCCATCATCATTACATTTTCGCCTTCCATTGCATAATATGTATGCTTGAGTGCTTAACATTACCACCACTTGAGCCTTCCCTGGTGTTTTTTTAAGGTACTCTTTTCTGGTGAGTCCTTCAGGTCCCTTAAGGTTTTCTTCTGGTATATGGCTCTTGTGGTTGTGGTGGTGAGCACCCTTGCATCCATACTACTGCATCTTCCACCCATCATGCATGCATACGCTTGCCTTTCTGGACCTTCTGCCACCATTACTCATACACCCCCCTCCCTTTCCTTCACTCGGTTTGCAGGTACCTCAACACTGAAGGCCTTCAATGTTCAAAGACTTTTGGAAGTCTCATTACAAGCCCCAAGACTGAAGGTTCTCAAGGTAAGGACTAGTCCTTTGGAAAGTTTAATTGTGTGGCACACTCACTAACATTCCGCTTTTCTTCCTGCAGGAGCTTCAACATGTCAACTGACACTTGCCACTGAAGATGGCCAAGAGTCTATAATCTGAAGTCTGAAGTTTCAAGCTTCCCTCAAAGGGTAACACTTTAACCTTCCACAGTTTTAATGTGTGGCACACTTTCTAACATTCCGCTTTTCTTCCTGCAGGAGCTTCAACATGTCAACGGTGACTTTCCAATGAAGATGGCCAAGAGTCATCAATCTGAAGTTCCAAGATTCAAGCGTTTCTTATAAGGTAACATTATATTTTTTTGGCAGTTTTACTTTGTGGCACACTCACTAACATTTTGCATTTCTTCTTGCAGGAGCTTCAACATGTCAACTGGCATTTGCCACTGAAGATGGTCAAGAGTCTATAATCTGAAGTCTGAAGTTTCAAGCTTCCCTTAAAGGGTAACACTTCAACCTTCCACATTTTAATTGTGTGGGACACTTACTAACATTCCGCTTGTCTTCCTGCAGGAGCCTCAACATGTCAACGGTGACTTTCCAATGAAGATGGCCAAGAGTCTCCAATCTGCAGTTCCAAGATTCAAGTTTTCCTCAAAAGGTAACATTTAAATCTTTTGGCGGTTTTAATCTGTGGCACACTTACTAACATTCCGCTTTTCTTCCTGCAGGACTTCAACATGTCAACGGTGACTTCAACAAGATCTTCAAATGACTGCCATCACTGAAGATGCTGAACTCAGCAATCAAGATCTTCAAATGACAGCTATCACTGAAGATTCTGAACTCAGCAATCAAGGTATGTCTTTATCATTTTAGCAGTTCAATTCAATGCTTACTGCACCTCCTGCTCACTCTGGCTGAGGACTGATAAATCTCTTTTGTCGTTGTGCAGGTAACCTGAAGGCATGGGGAGGCAAAGCATGGTGCTGAGGGACCCTTGGGGTTGTCTAAAGACTCGGATCCGGGCCATGTAGCAGACTGATTCTGTCGTACAGAGCTGACTGCAGCAGCTCTGTATCAGCAGATTCAGTCTGTGAAAATGGGCTCCCGCATGCCTTGGGTTTAGCGACTCTGAGGGTTGCCATGCCTCCTGCAGCCACTCTTTCCAGGCCAATACAGTGTGAATCCATGTGAGTCGTTTTGGTTGCTTCAGTTTAACTGCTTATACCTCTGCCTGGATACTAATGCTTTGTTTTGTTCTCTGCAGGTATCTTGTATTCCAGGCCAAGACTGTGTATCCAGGTGAGTCGTTTTGGTTGCTTCAGTTTAACTGCTTATACCTCTGCCTGGATACTAATGCTTTCTTTTGTTCTCTGCAGGTATCTTGTTTTTCTACAACAGGCTTTAGGGCAAGTTGATGTTATGTAGCATTTTGTATATACTGGTATACTTTTATGCATAGAATTTGGAAGCTAAAAGCATATGTAAAACGATTTGAAAGTTAAACAAGAATCAAGATGTCATTATTACTGCCAATGAACTGAGCGATTTTACTAGCATGATCTGTTACGATTTTACAACAAGCTGAACCTCCAAACGAATAGTGAGAGGTATCCAACCGAGTACTGTTCCATTTTGGCTCCGTGGGAAAGGTGCCCCCAGTTTAGCCCGTGACAGCCTCAAGGATTCTCGAAATCTCCGCGCATCTCTGAACTCCCTCGGCTCGGGTCTTCCCTGCTCCCAGATTTCCCTTACCGTACTGTACCGCCTTCCCCTTCCCCCCACGCCTGGCATTCCGTCCATTTATCATTGCACCCGTTGCTGCATCAGCTTCTTGACAAGTCTTCTGCCGTCCGTACACCACTAGCGCTTGAGACCGGACTAGTGATTGTACGATGCCTATTGGCATACATAGCCTGTGATTCAGGTTAGGTTTGGCATTAGTAAGGATCCGAGGCAGCCATGGTGTTCAGGCGTAGCTCCGCAGAGGAGCTCTTTCGAACTCTCGCGCAGATTCCTCCCGTCGACGCTCACGGGAAACCATCATTTCTCCGCGTTTCAGAGACATCCGTGAACATTCACGATATTCTTGTAAAACAAGTGCTCGCATCGGGAGGCATTCACGAATCGTCATCGCGATCTGACGACATTGATAACGACGGCGACGCGTCTTCTAGCAAATGGCGGTTCCGGAAGCCGTCAACAACATTTTCGGCATTCCTCGCTCCCCGCGAGTTGCGCCAGCTCGCAGCAGCCGTCGGCTCGCTCGCCGGTCCGGATCCTTCCAGCGGAGCCGCAGGCGGAGCTGCTGGCGGTACCACCAGCGCGAAATCCCTCCGCAAGCACCATGACGCCTCCGCCTCTTCCGCGCATGTCTCCGCTCTCCCCGTGCTCAACCTCGCATTGGATTACCTGCAGGCCATTCCCGACCTGCTTCTAACGCACGCGGGTTTCCCCGCCTGCCGCGCAATGCTCGCTTGCTGTCGCTCCGGCGCTCTCCGCGCTTTCCTGGCGGAACTGCGCCGCTGCGCTTCGGCCGACTCGCGCGTCTTCGGCTCCCCCGTGGGGAAGGCGACAGCGGAGCTGCTGCTGGGCCTAGCGCGCTCGCACGACGTTTTCCTTGAAGCTTCCGCCAGCCCGTCGAGTCGCGACAGCGCCAGTTCGGACTCCGCGCTCACAGGCGGAACAGCCGCGCGCGCGTCCTCCGCGGGAGCGGACGTGCAGGCGGTAGTGGGGGAGGTGGTTCTGGCGCTAGCCCTGCACTGCATCCCCGCGGGGCTCGCGGAAGCCGGCGGAACCGATGCGCCAGGCGGGGACACGGCGGGCGACAGTGGCATGAGCGGCGGAAGAGCCGGCTCCGCGTTGGCGGAAGCGCTGCAAGCCGTGTTCGACGCGTGGGTGAAGCCGCACGTGGGAGGGGGGAGCGGTGGCGCAGCGGGTTCCGCCGTCGCTCTGGGCAGAAGCAGCAGCAGCGGCGGAGGGGAAGGCGGGCTGGCGGGGGACGATGCGGACGGGCGCAGACCCTCAGCCTCGAGCGAGCAGCTGACGTCGCTGCTGACGTCAGGAGCCGGAGCAGTGGGGGACGCGGGGCATTTGCCTGGTGCGGAGGGGGCGGTGGAACTGGTGGGGGCTGTACCTGTGGGTCCGTGGCGGCTGCAGCTGCTGGCCGGCGCGTTTAGGGTAGCTGCGGCGGTGGTGGGAGGGGAGGATGATGGCGCACCTTCGGGGAAGCGCGGGGGGGCAGCAGGAGCCGCGGGGGAGAAGGCTCTGGAGAGTGTGGTTGGCCAATACGTCGCTGCCACGTCAGCTCTGCTGTCGAATTCGATAAAGCTTTTGCAGGTGAGCACGGTGGCCGTTGATATAGCGACGTAGAAGGCTGAGAAACCCTCGTTGTGCGATTCTACGTTGCTGTAGGACCACATTCTTCTAACTTCAGCTCAAGCCGCCATCGAGAGGTTAATAAGCTTCCAACCTCTGCTTCTGCTGCTGCATCTGCTGCGGCTGGCTGGCTGATGATGGGGTGACGTGACGTGCTGATCCGCTCTGGGGGCGTCTGTTGGCTGGGGTCGCCGCCGTTACCTTTCTGCTGCTGCCTCGCTCGCCTGCATGATGTGCTGTGCGCCTGGCTTGCACGGTTCCCTGTGGCTGCTATCCGCCTGCTCCTTCCTCTCCCCGCTGCTGCTACCTTGGCAGCCGCTCATGTGGCCGCCTCCGGTCCTGCTCCTGCTGCTCGCATACGCTGCCAACACCACTCCCACCGCCACTGCCGCCGCTGCTGCTGCCTCTGTCGCCGCTGCAGTTGCCTCCCCGCCCCGTTCCGTTTCCACACCCTCTCTTGCTCCCACTGCCACCGCCACTGCTGCTGCTGCAACTACTGCTTCCGCTGCCGCCGCCGAAGCCGCTGCCGCCGCTGCCGCTGCTGCTGCTGCTGCGGCTCCTGCAGGCTGCACGCCTCCCCGGTCCTCTTGGGTCTTCCCTCGTCCGTTCATCACTGCTCTGGCAACCCCTCCTCGCCCGCATCTCTCCTCCGCCACCGCCACTGCTGCTGCTGCATGTGCCGTTGCTGCCGCTGCAGCTGCTGGCAGCAGAGGGGGCAGAAGCGGCAGTGGCAGTGGCATTGTCAGTGGCGGTGGCAGCGGAATTAGCGGTGGGAGTAGCAGTGTGTTCCATCCACTGTATCCGTCCTCTGCTACAGGCCTGGGACTCGCAGCGTGCATATCCCCTCCCCACTCTCCTCCTGCGCCTGCCTCTGTGCCACCGACCTCTGCTGCTCCTTGGACTGAGGTGGTCCTGCTGCTGTGGTCCTGCCAATGTTGCTGCTCTTGCTCCCTCCCGCCCCCTATGCTGCCTCTGCTGCGTCTGTTGCCTCCTTGGGATTGGCTTTGGCAATCGTCATAGCACCGGAAATCCTGCTTGCTGACAGCGCTGGCTGCGTGTTGGCTGGTGGCATGGCACACAAGTGATGTGCCCAGAGGGATGGCAGAGGCCAGCTTTAGCTCCCTGCGCACTCCACTTCATTTGCATGCATGCGCATCCTCTCTCCCTTTCCCATCGTTCGAGGTAGTTTTCCTATGTCTCCTTCTCTTTCTTCCACTCTCCTCCATCCTCTCCTGTCCATTCTTCCCTCTCCTTCTCTTCCCTTCCCCTCCCCCCCCCTCCCCCTCCCCACCATCCCTCCCTATTCCCCACTTTCCCATCGCCTCGCTGGCAGCTGCGGAGGCAGGAGGCAGCAGGAATGTCCTTGGCAGCTCGAGCAGAGGTCGCAGCTAGGCTGCACGCTGCTGAGTCAGCAGCGGCGTTTGCCACGTCAGCAGTGGAGGGAGGGCGGGCGTCGCTGCGGGTGGTGAAGGGCGTGAGGGCGCTCTGCCTGCAGGTGGCTGATGCGTGCTCGCGATCCGCTTGGCGCCAGGTGAGGGGCGGGGAGAAAGGGGGGAAGGAAGGGGATGGCAGACGGGAGAAAGGATGAAGGGGGGTGGGAATGGGGAAGGGGGAAAGGGGACGGTGGACGGGAGAAGGGGGGAGGAGGCAAGAAGAAGCTAATATGATGGTAGAGATTCAATGTGTGAGAGAGGGGAAGTCGGAGAGATGAGAGAGGAGAAAGTGAAGGGTAAGAGAGCGGGGAACTTGGAGGGATGAGAGAGGAGAAAGCGAAGGCGAGAAATGGGGAAGTCACAGGGGAGTCAAAGCTTGAAGGGATAAACAGAAATAGCTTCTTCATCTTGTGCAATTTCACCTGAGAATTCTCAGAAGAATTAAAGCCTTCCATTCCATCACATCCTTCCCCATGCCGGCTCCATACCCCCCTTTCCCGCCCCAGATCCCGGCATGCGAGGATCTCTTCTCCGCGGTCCTATCAGCAGCCGCCAGGCTGGCAGTGCGGCAGAGCGAGGCGAGCGGGGCAGGGCGGGAGGACGCGGAGGCAGCAGCGCTGCAGGAGACACTCCTCCCCATGCGCTCCCTCGTGCTCGCTGCCGCCATGCAGAGCCCCATCCCTGCTGCTTCCCCCACACCCACCCCCGCGCTCACTGCCAAGAAGCGCGCGCCGATGGTGGCGAGTGTGGTGGGGGCGTGCAGCCTGCTGCTGCAGGCCACGTGGGCGTCGGGGGATCACTCGCGAGTCAAGTCCTTCCTGCTCTCTCTTGGATCGTACATGCGCCAGCCGCCCTCCTCTCAGGTGCTGTGGAATTACGATTTCCTTCATTCTACATGGAAGGTTTTTAGGAAGGATCAAAACCATCCAAATTAAGAAGAAACGCGGTGTCTACTAATTAGCAACTTGCAATTTGAAGTGCTACAGCCTTTGCGGCCTTTTGCTGCCCCCCGCATGGCGTGACTGTGCTACAACCTTTACCTTCGCGTCCCGCCCCCTGTTTCCCTTCTCGTCCCTACAGGACGAGCAACAGCATGCCAGCATGGCATGCCTGCGCTACAACCACAATTTTCCCTTGCCGCCCCCTGTTTTCTCTCTTGGCTCTCCCCCCCGACAGGACGAGCAGCAGCGCGCCAGCATGGCATGTCTGCGCTACAACCTGACACCGATCCTAGTAGAGGTAGCAGCAGCAGCCAGGGGCGCTACAGCCGTGATAGCCGTGGTGCCCCTGCTGCTGGAGGCAGTGCAAGCCCCCAAGGAGGACCCTGCCATCCGCCACGAGGTGCTGTGCGCCCTGACTGCACTACAACCTTTGCCTTCGCTCCCTGCCCCTTGTTTCCTTTCCCCTCTCGCCCCCGCAGGACGAGCAGCAGCGTGCCAGCATGGCGTGCCTGCGCTACAACCTGGCACCGATCCTAGTAGAGGTAGCAGCAGCAGCCAGGGGTGCTGCAGCCGTGACAGCCGTGGTACTCCTGGAGGCTGTCAGAGCCCCCAAGGAGGACCCGGCTATTCGGCACGAGGTGCTGCGCGCGTTGACTGCGCTACAACCTTTGCCTTCGCTCCCCGCCCCTGTTTCCCCTCTCCTCCTCACAGGACGAGCAGCAGCGCGCCAGCATGGCGTGCCTGCGCTACAACCTCGCCCCCATCCTAGTAGAGGTAGCAGCAGCGGCCAGGGGCGCCACAGCCGTGACAGCAGTAGTACCCCTCCTGCTGGAAGCAGTCAGAGCCCCCAAGGAGGACCCGGCTATCCGCCACGAGGTGCTGCGCGCGCTGGCAGCAGCAGCGGTGGCGGCAGCAGGCATGGGGCAGGAGGGGCCGTACCGCGAGGTGGCGGTGCTGCTGCTGTGGGAGTATGGGCGGGAGGCGGGGGAGGTGCAGCCTCAGGTGGAGGTGCGTGCAGGAGGCGAAGGGAGAGGGATCGGCGGGGAAGGGAGGGAGGAAGGGGGAAAAGGCGTGTCATGGGGATGTGGGTGTTGGGATAGGTAGGGCAGTTGCTCACATCTTTCGGAAACGACTTGCTCCCCTTCTTTCTGGGCTCCTCTCCCCTCACCTCTCATTCCACGACCTGCAGGTGCTGTCCTCGGTGCTGGCGCAACTGGCCTCGGGTCTCTCCCGCCCTTCCCTGAGAGACGACTTCTTGCGCCGCCTGCTTGCCACCTGCGCTGAGGTGGCCCTTGCCACAGAGGCGGAGGGGGGCAGGTGAGCAGGCCAGGTCCTCTAGAGCGATGGCGTGGGGCTTGTCACTTGCAATGTGTGCTTGCCGCTGGCCCCTCTTGCCAACACACCCTTATCTTTCTTCTCCCTCCCCTCCCTCTCCCTTCCACCTCCCTTCCCACCTGTCTCTGTGCTGCTCGGCTAGTCCTTTCAGTTGTGTTTTCCGCTGACCACCTCAACTGCTTGCATCATCGCGCTCCAGACCCCTGACTGAAGCGCCTCTCCCTGTCGCCCCTTTTCTCTTGCCTTTTCACTTTTCACTTGAGTCGGCCATGGAACAGAGCTGCTGGGTCCCTTACTCCCAGCAGTGGCAGCGGCCTGCCCTCACGTGGATCCCCTGTACCCCCTGCTGGATCCCTCCCTGCACCACCTCGTCCTTCTCGTTCCCCACCTCCCTCCATCCCACTCCCCCTTCCCACCCAAACGCCCGCGGGGCAGGGCTCTTGGGTCCCTTACTCCCAGCAGTGGCAGCGGCGTGCCGCCACGTAGATCCCCTGCACCGCCCAGTGGACCCCTCCCTGCAGCGCCTCACCCTAACCTCCCTTTTCCCTCTCCCCCTCACGTTGTGCCCCCTCCCTCTCCCATCAGCCGGGGAGCAGAGCTGCTGGGTCCCTTACTCCCAGCAGTGGCGGCGGCGTGTCGCCACGTGGATCCTCTACACCGCCCAGTGGACCCGTCCCTGCAGCGCCTCTTCCGCAACCTCTGGTTCTACTGCGCTCTCTTCCGCCTCGCCCCGCCCCTCCACTCCTCCCCCGCCTCCGCTGCTGCCGCTGCCGCCGCCGCCGCTGCCGCTGCAGCCACTTCTGCCGAAGGTGCCTTTGGTGCCACACCCAGCAGCACTGCTGCTGCTTCTGCGGCTACTGCTGCTGGTTCTCCTGATGCTGCTGCTGGGGGCCCTCCTGGGGTGCTGGCGACGTGCACCGGTGGTGGGGGAGGTGGCAAGGCGGGGGGGAGTGCGGACGACTTGACCAAGGGGCCGTATGCGTGGCGGCCTGAGTGGGCTGCTGCTATGAGGCACATCGCTGCTCATACTCCTCCGCTGGTATGTGCGACACACACATGGTTGCACTAGACGACAGATGCACAAGCACAGAAAGCACACAAGCAGTCAGACGCACAAGCACACAAACAGACGAACGCACAAGCACAGAGGCACACAAGCACACACACAAGCATGCACCAGCACCTGTAACTCCACAAGTGACCCTAGGTTTCTCGCATTTAGGGTGTCTGACGTGTGCTCAGAGCTGCCAGGCCCGCGTGTGCTGCTGGAGGGTGCGTGGGCGGTCCTCTCCCCGCGTGCACCCCTCTGTGCAGGCAGTCGGTGCCTTCTCTCGCCTGGACGATGAACTCGAGCTCGCTGCGCTGCACCGCCCCGGCAGCCAGAGGGGCAGCGGCAACGAGCAGGCGGCTGCCCGGCAGCGCCAGGTGCTGGGCGCGGCCGTGGGTTCAAGACTAGATGCGAGCGTCATCAGCAGCATCACTGGTGGGTGGGGTGGGAAGGGAATGGTGTGATTTGGGCAGGGAGTTCGATGGGAATCGAATCGGCATCAAGCAGACAGTGCGAGGCAGGGAAGGGCATGCACTGGGCGCTGCCGTGGACCGATCAGATGTAGACTTTTTTCTCAATGCCTGCGCATCCTCTTGTGCATTTTTTTGTGCATGTGGCCACTTATCTCCCCGTGCATCTTCCCCCCTCCAGGGGTGAAGGCGACGAACCTGCTGTCCATCGTGTTGCTCGAGTCCCTCTGTGTGTCTGCTGCCTCCAGCCTCGTCCCCCTCCCCAACACCACCCCCCAATCACCTGTTCCCCCACCGCTCCTCCCTAACACTCACACTTCCTCCCGTGCATGTGCCTATTCGTCTCTCCCATGCAGGAGTGAAGGCGACGAACCTGCTGTCCATCGTGCTGCTCGAGTCTCTCCGTGTGTCTGCTTCCTCCGCCCTCGTCCCCGTCCCCGACACCACCCCCCACTCGCCCTCCCTTGGAGAGGAGACCAGTCAAGTAGCAGCAGCAGGAGAAGCAGCAGGGGTGGCGGCGGCGCGGCAGCGGTGGGAGGAGGGGAGTGAGAACCGCAGTGCAGTGACGTGTCTGCTGGAGTATATTCAGATGCCCAACCCCTGCGCTGCTGTGCGCCACTGCCTCTCTGCCGTCGTGCTCCGCGCCTTTGACGCCCTTCTCCTCGCCCTGGTGAGACCTTTTGCCCTTTGTTCTGTCTTGTTTCTTGGGCTACTTGCAGCTATTCTATGCTTGCTGCTCCATGCTCCCATGTGTTTGTTTTCACAGTCAATCTCTGTGAAACGAGCAGCGTGTTTTGTTATAATCCCGCTCTGCTTCCCATCCCCTTCCACTCCCTTCCACATTTTTTGCACCTTCCTCCCACCTTCCTTTGCACCTCCCCCCCACCCACCAGGAGCACGACCCCAGTGACACGGTGAGGAAGGCAGCCCTCTCTGCGTGCGCATGCGCCCTCCTAGACGCCCTATGGGACGGGCGGGAGTTTGTGCGCGACACCCAGCAACCCAACCCCCCTCTCCCCCCCCTCTCCCCACCCCCACTGCTTCCCCTCATCCATGCCGCCAGGAGCACGAGCCCAGCGACACTGTGAGGCAGGCAGCCCTCTCAGCACATGCATGCGCGCTGCTCGACGCGCTGTGGGACGGCCAGGAGTTTGTGCGCGACACAGCGCGCACCATGCTGAGCCTGCTGCGCAAGGCCTTCCCGCACCTCCTCTGGCACCCGCGCTGCATCCGCTCCCTCCTGCGCTTCCACCCGCCTCAGCAAATGCTCGCCTCGGTCGGAGAGGCTGCAGCAGAGGCAGCGGCAGGGGTGGGAGGGGGAGCGGGGGGAGCAGACGGAGAGGAGGAGATAGCGGAGGTGGCGTGGGATCCGGAGGCGGCTGCTGCTGCTGAGAGCCTGGCCATGGATGTTGCTAAGGACTGGCTTGCCACGGCGTTTCTCCTTGCGCCACTTGTCACGCAGGCATTGGTGGAGGTGAGATCTGGGGGGTGGGGTGGGGGGGGGGTAGGAGGGAGGGGTGGATTGTGTAGGGTCGTCCTTGGCTGCGCTACGTCGTCACGTGCTGTGCTCCCGTGTGTAGATAGATAGGGCAGACAGCTGCCAACATATCCCCGTGCCTGTCTCCTCTTTCCCCCCTCCCCTCCCCCCCCCGTTCCCCCTCCCCATTTTCCCTCGCTCTCCCCCTTTTTTTTGTTTTGTGTGTGCGTGTTTCTTCGTTTGACCTCCCTCTTCAACCCATCCCCACGCTCCTCACTGGCTACGTGTTTGCACAGGAGGTGCTGCGGGGTGGGGACTCGGACCCAGAGTCAGTGGCGGGGCTGCTCAGTGTGCTGGCAGACATCAAGCACCGGCCCCGAGGTAGGGGGCACTTGGGGGTAGTGCGTGCGTGCTACTTACCAGTGAACTATGTACATACATATCACTGAATTATGTTGGTGGCGGGGCTGCTCAGTGTGCTCGCTGACATCAAGCACCGGCCCCGAGGTAGGGGGCACTTGGGGGTAGTGCGTGCGTGCTACTTACCAGTGAACTATGTACATACATATCACTGAATTATGTTGGTGGCGGGGCTGCTCAGTGTGCTGGTAGACATCAAGCACCGGCCCCGAGGTAGGGGGCACTTGGGGGTAGTGCGTGCGTGCTACACTGCTACACGTCTCTGATTCATGGCAAGGGCAGGGGAAATCTTCTCTGTGCCCGTCCATATCCTTCTCCCTCCTCGCTCTTTGCCTATCCCTCCTCTGGTTCCCTCATCCATCTACCCGCATTCTTCCTCATAACACCTCTCTTCCTCCTCTCCATTCCACCCCTCTCATACCCCCCAGGGTCAGCAGCAGACAGCACGCGGTCGCCCTTCACCCTGGCAGCACAGGCCACAGTGGCCGCATCCCTCAAAGCCCACAGCATGGGGCAGGTCGCCGGGCTGCTCTCAGCCCTCTCCTTGCTCCCTGCTGCCTCAACCGGCATAGCAGGCACAGCAGGCACAGCAACAGTCACCTTTGGCACAGCAGGCTCGGAGACTCACCCTCCTTACAAGCACGGCGCCGGCATAGCAGTTGGGTCACACTCCGCTCCGCATGCAGCAGCCAAGCCGGACCCCCATGTGACTCTACTGCAGGCGGCTGTGACTCAAATGGAGGGGCTTGTAGAGGGCGGGGGCGGGGGAGGGGAGATGGGGCAGGGGGTGGTGTCGTGGGGGCACATGGGGGGGGAGGAGGGGCGGAGGAAGGAGAAGGAGAGAGCCACATCTGTGGCAGCAGATGCAGAGAAAGTGCGGGACCGATGCCTGTGGGCAGTGGCTGCTCTGGTGCTGGTGGAAGAGCAGCAGAAAGGCCATCAGAGAGGGCAGCAGAAGGGGCAGCAGAGGGGGCAGGGCAGGAGGCGTGCCTCTCCCCATCAGTCAGCTCTCGAGCTCCGTCTAATCCATCTCCTCGCCCGCACGCCCCTCCGTTTCTTCACCCCCCAGTCCCTCCGCGCCTGCTGCCTCGCCTGGGCCTGGCTTCTCGCCTCCCTCCCCCGCCTCTCCGCCCCTCTGCTCTCCCAAATTGCAGCGGCGTGGGGGGAGACGATTTCGGGGCGTCGGGGGGTGTTTAGAGCGTTGGTGGGGGATGAGGAGGGGCCGCGGGGGTGGCTACGGCCGCTGGTGGTGGGGGGGGTGCCGGAGGGGTTTTCGGACCACAAGGGGGAGGAGGCGCAGGCACTGGAGGAGCTGGGCGCACATGCTGCTTGGATCACCTTTGTCTCTGACTGTGCCGAGGTGGGTGGGTACAATGCTTGTGCTTGTGTTGAAAAAAACATGCGTTCCAACTGCATGCCACCGGCCCCCCTCTTCTGCCCTGTTCTCCTCCTCTTACCCCATCTCCCACTGCATTTTCCTCTCCCCTGCCTGCCTGGCGTCTGTCCTATTTGTGTTGCTATTTTTGTCGTAGATGTGCCGTTGAAGCAACAATGCTCATGCCTTCCTCATTTGCTGTATCCAGCCTTTTGTTGACTTGTTCGAGCCCAGCGCCCTCATCCCTGTGTGTCTACATCTGTTACTATCTCTCCCCATCTGTCACATCATCCCTCATGTGACGTCCTCGTCCCGCAGATGTACGGGCGGGGCAGTGAGAGCCAGGCAGCGGCCATCGAGCGCCTGCTGCTCGCCTCTCTCTCGGACATCACCCGCCTCTCCCGCCACCCTGCCGCCCGCGCGCCCCTCTTTGACCTCTTCCGCCTCGCCCTCTCCTTCGCTCGCACCCGCCTCCTCGTCGCCACCAACCCTGCTCGCATCGCTGCAGCAGCAGGGGCGTCAGGGGCAGTGGCAACGTCTTTGGCAGCAGCAGCGGCAGTGGCGGATGTGAGCCGGTCTGATGCTGCCACGTCGCCTCACGTGTTCTCGGCACGGTTGCTACGGGACCGAGCGCACAGGTGCGCATCAGTGAGACCCCATTGGCCAACAGTTGAGTGTCAACCCTAGTGCTCATGTGTTGTGCGTGCTTGTAGCGAATGTGGGAGTCAGTGTTCATGTGCTTGTAGCGAATGTGGGAGTCAGTGTTCATGTGCTTGTAGGGAATGTGGGAGTCAGTGTTCATGTGCTTGTAGGGAATGTGGGAGTCAGTGTTCATGTGTTTGAGGTCAACGTCCAACCACTGAACCACATTCACGCTCACGCCCCTGTTTCCCCTCCCCACACCCCCCCTCTATCAGGGCGGTGCTGAAGTGGTTCAGTGTGGACGCGGGGTACTTCGATGGCTGGCCCAGTGCGCACAGGAGGCAGGCAGCCCTTGAGGAGATCCTGTCCCTGCTCCTCACCCCCCTCCCCCCCAATCAGGGCGGTGCAGAAGTGGTTCAGTGTGGACGCGGGGTACTTCGATGGCTGGCCCAGTGCGCACAGGAGGCAGGCAGCCCTTGAGGAGATCCTGTCCCTGCTCCTCACCCCCCTTCCCCCCTCCCCCCCCCCCAATCAGGGCGGTGCTGAAGTGGTTCAGTGTGGACGCGGGGTACTTCGATGGCTGGCCCAGTGCGCACAGGAGGCAGGCGGCCCTTGAGGAGATCCTGTCCCTGCTCCTTGTTAATGTTAGCCATCAATCTCACACTTTGTACTTTGTATTTTGTATTTTCTATATCCTAGAGTAGTGTAGTTTGCACTTTGTGTTTGGTTGGGTGTACACCTACATCCCAACCAAACCCAAAAGTAATCTCCAAGCAATCTCCAACCCACCAATTGGAGATTGCCTTGGGATTACCCCCAATCCCTAGGGATTGCCCCCGATTCCCTTTCCCATCCATTCCCTACCCTTCTTGGATGTACTTAAAGAGCTTCATGCTCATTACTAATGTATCAATTCTAAGCCTAAGTTTTAACATGGTATCAGAGCTCTTCAACCGCACATGCGGATCGTGATCCTCTCATCTTTGCGGATGCTCGTCCCGCAAACCTCGGCGTTGCCACCCTCAATCTCGTCGCCGGTGATTCGCGACATTCGTGGGCGGAAATTCTCCTGCACCACCTTCCCGTCAATTTCGACGACATCTACCTTATTTCTGGTAAGCGCATCGTCAGCGCCGTAACCATCGCTCCCTCTTTCGTCGAACGCATCCTGTCATCTCTTCTCCTCGTCGGGCCGCCGCCCGTCGCCCCGCAGCTTCTCGTCGGGCCGCCGCCCGTCGCCCCGCAGCTTCTCGTCGGGCCGTCGCCCGTCGCCCTGCAGCGTCACCTTCGGGCTGCCGCCCGTCGCCCCGCATCTGCACTTCTACCCCCATCCCCCCCTTCCAGCAGCTGAACAGGTGCAGCCGAGCAGCAGCGTAGCCGTGAAGCAGAGCAGTCGTGTAGCCGCGAAGCTGAGGGTGGTGTGTGGGGGGGTGTGTGGGAATAGGATTAGCGGGTAGTTGACACTAAACTGGCGTTTTCGTCAAATTCTCCTTCAGAAACCCTAAACCTCAAAATTCTCCTTCGTAAACCCTAAACCTCCGGTTCTTCAAAATCTCCTTCGGAAACCCTAAACCTCAAGTTCCTATCAGTGACTTAAGAGCGACGCTTCGCGCGAGACGCCAAGGGGTCTTCATTATGGCCTTCACCTCGTCCACCATGGCCAACCCCATCACCCCACTCCGCCTTGAAGCCGATGGCTCTAGCTCCAACTTCAAAGCTTGGAGCTATGGGGTTGACAAGCACCTCCTGAGTCGTGACGTGCAGGGATTGGACCTCAAGGATGTCCTCCTCAACCGTGGCAAGGGAAAACAACCCCCTCCCCCCGTTGAGCCGACTGAATCCGCTAGTGATACTGACATGAGGGCGTACGAGGAAGCCGTTGAAAAGTACCCGAAATAGGAGAAGGCCGATGCTGCTATCATCAGCGTCTTCATCGCCTCCACCCCTCCCGAACTTGTCAACACGTTCCACAACTACCCTACCTCCAACGCCATCTGGAAGTATCTCCAGGATCGGTTCATGAACAAGACGGCGGTCGGAGTTGCCATTCTCATCCCCAGCATGTTTCAGATCCGACTTGAGGACTGCTCGGGAATGGCCGACTACATTGCCAAGGTGCAGAGCATTCATGGCGAACTCAAGGAGCTGGGTATAGTCTTCCCCGAACAAGCCCCTGCAGCCGCCCTTCTTGTTGGTCTCACCTCGGCATATGAAGTCACGAGGAAGATGCTCCTCTCGCTTTCTGCGGAAGACCTCACCTTTGCTAAGGTCTCCACCGCACTCCTCTTTGCCGAGAAAGACTCCACGGCTCAGGCCAAGGCTTATGCCATCCGCGCTCCCATGCCCCAAGCAAGTGTCGCAGCGGCCCTCGCCTCGGCGCCCTTCCAGCGCAACCGCTTCCCTCCGTGCACCTACGTCGTCAAGTATGGGAACCGCAAGGGACAAGTGTGTGGTGGCACTAACCACCCCCTTGCGACGTGCTTCAAGAAGAAAGACGAATGGTACGCCGTCCACGGAGTTGACAAGAAGCCGCCAAATTGGATGCGCCATTGTAAGGCAAACCTAGTTGAGGTCCAGGACCCCGCTTCGGCTAGTGCTAGTGATAATGTTCCTGCTGATGTGCGTATCAACCTCTTGTTCCCTGGCACTGCCATGATTAATGAAGCTACCCCTCAGTACATCGGCTCATCACAAGCACCACAATACATAGAGTTCACACTCGACAGCGGGGCCACTCACACTGTGCTCAAGGAGACACTCTCCTTCAAACCCTACGCAACACCCATTCCTCTCTTGGGAGCTGACTCAAGCTTCACCACTCTTGCCAAGGGTACATCCACAGTCCCGTGCCCCGCCTTCCCATCCGGCACTGTCACTGGCATGTGCGTGCCCTCACTACGCCACAATCTAATGGCTCAAACGGAAATTCAGGACGCAGGGCTACGCACCATCTTCTCGGAGAACGAGGACTATTGCGACATCATCGATCCCCTCACCAACAAGATCTTGGCCCGCTTCACCCTCAACAGCAGCGGCCTCTACACGCTACGCGTCCCGCTCCCACAGGTGTCAACCACCCAAGCACAGGCTCCTATCACACCATGCTCCTGTCGCAGCCTCTCCAACCCGACCATCCTTTACCACCATCGGCTCGGGCACCCAAACTTCCGCACGCTTGCTGACATGGCCTCCAAGAAACTTCTTCTCGGCCTGCCAGCCGCACTTCCTCCACCACCTGACTCACCCGCTCCCACGTGCCTTGATTGCACCAAGAGCAAACTGCGCCAACAGCCCCATCCTGCCTCACCCACAGTCGCAGCAGCACCACTTGACCTAGTGCACATGGACGTCTGGGGCCCTGCCCCTGTTCCCGCACGAGGTGGCCATCGCTACTTCCTTGCTATCGTGGATGACCACTCCCGCTACGTCTCTGTTCACCTCCTCCACACCAAGGCTGAGGTTCCCGAGGTCATCATGGCGTAGGTCAAGCAGGCACAGACCACCTTTGACCGCAAGGTCAAGCGCCTTCACTCGGATGGGGGGGGGGAATTTTGCAACGACAAGCTCAAAGCCTTCTGCTCCTCAGAAGGCATCCAGCAAAACTTCACCCTTCCTGACAGCCCGCAGCAGAACGGCATAGCAGAGAGCCGCAACCACACCCTGGTGCAGATCACTCGGTGCCTCCTCAGCCATTCTAACGCTCCACTCTCCCTCTGGGGGTACGCCCTCTACCATGCCGCCCTCCTCTATAATCTTTATCCCCACCCGCATCTTCCCGACACCACTCCAACCACACTTTGGCTCGGGAAAACACCCACTGCCCGCTCTCTCCGCGTCTGGGGGTGCACCGCCTATGTCCTCCTCAACCCTCAGGCCAGGCGGCATCGCGGTGGCAAACTCGGTCCCAAGACCCAAACGTGCATATACCTTGGGCACAACGCCGACTCCCCTGACTATCTCTTCCTCAACCCCTCCACTCGACAGTTAGTCCGGAGCCGTGACGTTGTCTTTGATGAAACCCGCCCATTCTACTCCACTTCGGGACCGGATCCTCTCTCCGATCCACCCTCTCTCGTGTGGGCGGACTTTGATGTGCTCCCTGAACTCCCGCCTGCACCGGCCCCCTCACCTCCTCCCTCTCCTGCCATCGCACCTTCCCCCTCTGAGGTCTCTGATCCGACCTCCCCGGTATCTTCGGCATCCGCTCCTCCATCCCCCTCACCTCCCACTCCGCCAACTGCGCCGCCACCTCTGAGCGCACCTATCACATACCATCGGCGGTCACACCCTCCGGCCCCTCATCCTTCCCCAGTCCCCCCTTCCACTGCGGAACCCGCTCTCCCACAGTCGCCCGAGCTGATCACGTACAAGCGGCGACCAATTCCCCCGCCCAAGCCTCCTAAATCAGCCCCTCCGACACCGCCTGCCCCACCCTCTTCTCCGGTGGCTCATGGCACTCGTTCGCATGGCGCTGCGCTTCCACTGGCACTTATTCTTCGATACACAGCGATCACTCCGCCTCCTCCTGCTGGGGGGGATGTGCCCTCTACCCTTCTGGAAGACAGGCATGAGGAGCTGTGTGATCTTCACGCCGTCATTCCTCAGCTCTCGCACATCTTCCCCGACATCACTGAATCACCCTCACTCAACTTCACGGAGAACCCGACCATCCCTATCCCTCTCACCGTCCAAGAGGCTCTCTCGGGTCCTCATGCAGCCGAATGGCGTGCTGCCATGGAAGCTGAGATTGAAGCATTCACCCGCAACCACTCCTTCGACGACGAGACTCCACCTCCAGGAGTCAACATCGTCGGGGGCAAGTGGTTGTTTCGTGTGAAACAGCTCCCAGACGAGGCCCCGGTGTTCAAATCGCGTTACGTAGCCAAGGGTTTCACCCAGCAGCAGTACCACGACTTCTTCAAGACCTTCTCCCCCACATCCAAACCTCCCACTATTCGCACGCTCATGGATGTCGCTGCACGAGAAGACTTTGAGATCAAATCCATGGACGCCTCATCAGCTTTCCTACAAGGACGCCTCAAGGAGACAGTGTTCATGGACAGACCTGAAGGCTTCCCAGGAGAATTCCCTCCCAACACTGTCTGGAAGCTGAATCGCCCCGTCTACGGCCTCAAGCAAGCCCCTCGCGAATGGCACAACAAGGTGAAAGAAGTCCTTCTCTCCCTGGACTTCCACCCATCATCTCCTGACCCGACTCTCTTCATTCGCCGTCATTCTGAGCCATTCTACATCCTTGTCTACGTCGATGACTTCATCCTCGTTGCCAAGGACTCGGCCCAGATGACCTCTGTCCAGGCGGCCCTGAGCAAAGCCCTCCAGATGAAAGACCTCGGTGACCTCAAGCACTACCTGGGAATGGAGATCACACGTGATCGCAAGGCTCGCACCATTTCACTCTCCCAGGAGTTCTACATCAACAATGTGCTCAAGCGGTTTGAGATGGAGCTGAGCACACCTGTTGCCACCCCGCTGCCGCTGCAACACCTCCTCACAGCCCCAGCTGTACCCACACCAGAGGCCTGCTCTGAGCCATACCCGGACCTCGTTGGGTCCCTCATGTACGCCATGATGTGCACCCGGCCGGACTTGGCATACCCTGTCAGTGTCCTCTCTCGTTACGTGGCCCCGGGGCGCTTCACTGATCTTCACTGGAAGGCGGCGAAGCGGGTACTGCGTTATCTCCAGGGCACCAAGTCTCACGTTCTCACACTCGGTGGACTCTCCCCTCCTCGGCTAGAAGGTTACACTGACTCCTCTTGGGCCGATGACCAGACCGACCGACGCTCCTCTCAGGGGTACTGCTTCACCCTTGGGAGCGGAATTGTCAGCTGGCGCTCCACCAGGTCGTCAGCAGTCTCCCTCTCCTCCTGTGAGGCAGAGCTCTACGCTGGCACCGTGGCTGCTCAAGAGGCCCGTTGGCTCACCTTCCTCCTCCAGGAGCTTGGCTACCCTCAGTCCACCCCCACCCTCTGGTGTGACAACCAGAGTACTATCCTCCTCTCCCAAGACCCTGTGTATCACACTCGCACCAAGCACATCGAACTTCGGCATTTCTTCATCCGTGACCTTGTCCAGCGGGAGCAGCTGAACGTGGAGTACGTTGCATCTGACTGCAACCTGGCTGATCTGTTCACCAAGCCCCTTGGGAAAGTTCCTCACCACCGTCTCCTTGGCGCCATGGGGCTCTGTGCTCCACCCTCTCTGCCCTGAGTTCGATTGACGCCTATGGGGGGGTGTTAATGTTAGCCCTCAATCTCACACTTTGTACTTTGTACTTTGTATTTTCTATATCCTAGAGTAGTGTAGTTTGCACTTTGTGTTTGGTTGGGTGTACACCTACATCCCAACCAAACCCAAAAGTAATCTCCAAGCAATCTCCAACCCACCAATTGGAGATTGCCTTGGGATTACCCCCAATCCCTAGGGATTGCCCCCGATTCCCTTTCCCATCCATTCCCTACCCTTCTTGGATGTACTTAAAGAGCTTCATGCTCATTACTAATGTATCACTTCTAAGCCTAAGTTTTAACACTCCTCACCCCCCTTCCCCCCTCCCCCCCCCCCAATCAGGGCGGTGCTGAAGTGGTTCAGTGTGGACGCGGGGTACTTTGACGGGTGGCCCAGTGCGCACAGGAGGCAGGCGGCCCTGGAGGAGATGGCAGTCATGGACGCCTTCAGCAAGGCGCTCGCCGATGATGACACCATGGAGGACGCCTTCTGGCCGCCTCCTGTTGGTGCTGCAGCTACTGCTGCGCTCTCCCCTGCGGTGAGTGGCTGCTTGTGCTGCTGGTAAAAGTGTCTCTTCCCCACTGCTCAGAAGCTATGCTCCCCCCTTCAGGTGTCTCTCGCCAGCTGCCCCTTTTCTGGTTTACGTTCCGCATTCCTCTCGCTCGCCCCATCGCCTCATTTCTAGCACGAAAGGAGCTTTGAAGGGCCACAGAGCGCAAGAGGGGTCAACAGATGTCCCAACCTCATGAGCATATGTGAGGACAACCAGCCCATGAGCACCAACCCATGACCCCCCCCCCCCCCCCCCCCCCCCCCCCCCCCCCCCCCCCCCCCCCCCCCCCCCCCCCCCTCCTCCTCCTCTTCATGCACTCCCGTTTCCGTCCCCCCGCCAGTCCCACCAGCAGCGCCATCCAGTGTGGGGGGCATTCTTCTCGCCGCACCGCTCGCAGGAGAGGCAGCAGCGGCGCCGCCTGCTGGCGCTGCTCACCGCGCACGAGGCAGAGTGCTCCGCTACTTGGGCCTTCCCCCTCGGGTCAGTACTACCACCTGCGCGTTTCTTTAGTTGGCACCTGTCCTTTCAGATGCTGCCGTCGTTAGGCATGCAGTGATGCCCGGAGCTACCTCAACCTTGCATTGCACCCTTCCCACCTTTGGTTCCTCCTCTGCCTTTTCTCTTTCCCACCGCATCCCAGTGTCGCACCGGACGCGTCACGCACGGCAGCTTCAGCGGCAGCCACGGACATCCAGCGCAGCAGGGCGCGGGTCACGGCGTCGCTCTCGCCCAATGACGTGCCGCCACTTGTGCGTGCCGCACGGGCTGTCGACCCGCGAGTGGCAGTGTGCTTGGTGCAGCGCTTCCCGTCAGTGAAGGGCATTCAGGACGACGTGGGGACGCTCATTCGGGTGCGTGCTGGGTTGAGTGGGCAGGGTGGGTATTTTAGGGAAGTACTTCTGGACTGATGCAATGCACTGATTGTGCTTCCCTCCCTCGCGTGCTCCCACCCTCGCGTGCTCCCACCCTCGCGTGCTCCCACCCTCGCGTGCTCCCACCCTCGCGTGCTCCCACCCTCGCGTGCTCCGATCTGTCACGAGAGACGGCATTCAGAATGACGTTGGCACACTCATTCGGCGGATAAGCATCGGTTTGTTAGAGGGCTTTGGAACAACAAAACTGACCCTGCCCATCCCTTCCCCTGGCCTTCCCTCCTCTCCTCCCTTCCTTCCCGCTCCCCTTCCCCCACACACAACCACCAGTCCATGCCGCTGCTGGTTCACTCCCTACCAGAGGCTCTCCGGTGGGTGGTGACGCCAGCAGCAGTGCTGCAGGACTCGCCGCTCCTGCGCCTGCCTCTGCCCTACTGGGCGCCATGCTCCGTGGCAGCCGTGCTCAACCTGCTGCTGCTGCTGCTGCTGCTGCTGCTGCTGCTGCTGCTGCTGCTGCCGTCTGCCATATCCACTTGCAACCAACCACTGCATGAGTGCATCTAACTCTTACCCCTCTCCTCTCCTCTCCCGCCCCTGCCTTCCCACTCACCCACCCTCCTCACCAGTCCATGCCGCTTCTAGTCCGATCCTTACCCGAGGCTCTCCGGTGGGTGGTGACGCCAGCAGCAGTGCAGCAGGACTCGCCGCTCCTGCGCCTGCCTCTGCCCTACTGGGCGCCATGCTCCGCGGCAGCCGTGCTCAACCTGCTGCTGCTGCCGTCTGCCATATCCACTTGCAACCAACCACTGCATGAGTGCATCTAACTCTTACCCCTCTCCTCTCCTCTCCCGCCCCTGCCTTCCCACCCACCCACCCTCCTCACCAGTCCATGCCGCTTCTAGTCCGATCCTTACCCGAGGCTCTCCGGTGGGTGGTGACGCCAGCAGCAGTGCAGCAGGACTCGCCGCTCCTGCGCCTGCCTCTGCCCTACTGGGCGCCATGCTCCGTGGCAGCCGTGCTCAACCTGCTGCTGCCCGCCTTCAAGGGCCATCCACGCGTCATGGCGTATGCATTCAGGGTGCTGGAGGCGTACCCCCCGCCCACTGTCACATTCTTCATGCCACAGCTCGTGCAGGCACTCAGATACGACCATGATGTGAGTACTGTTGCTATTGCTACCATGATGTGAGTACTGTTGCTATTGCTACCATGATGTGAGTACTGTTGCTATTGCTACCATGATGTGAGTACTGTTGCTACCATGATGTGAGTACTGTTGCTACCATGATGTGAGTACTGTTGCTACCATGATGTGAGATGTCTCCAAGGTGCGTTCAGGGTGCTGGAGGCGTACCTTCCGCCCACTGTCACCTTTTTCATGCCGCAGCTCATTCGGGCACCCACATATGATCCCGATGTGAGGTTAAGGTATGAATCTGATTTGCTTACGGCATAAGGACTTGATGGACTGCCTGCAGGCCTCCTTGAGTCAATTCTGAAGTCACCTCTACCCCCCCAATCCCCGCGTGCATCTCCCTCCCCAACCGCCGACCCCCATGGCAGGGGCTGGTGGAGTCCTACCTGCTGCGAGCTGCCCTGCGCAACATCATCTTCGCGCACATCCTCATCTGGCAACTGCAGGTGCGCTGCTCCGTTGCCCGTGCGAATGACTCAGCTGCTCATCATATGCCTTTCTAAGTTGACTCAGCGGTTGACTCAGCAGTTGACTCGACTGTCAGCATCATTGCCACAGATGTCCTCATCTGCCAGCTGCAGGTGCCCACTCCCCTCCTCAACTGCACTCTATCCCTCCACACCACATCCCTTTCCTCTCATCTAACCCTTCTTCTCATCCCCCCACCTTTCCCCATTTTCTATCACTTTATCCCAACTCCTCTCCCAGGGCGAGGAGGCGGATCCCGAGGGGCAGCAGCCACCAGCTCTTGAATCCTCCAACGGCACAGCAGCAGAGGGAGGCGCATCTGGGGAAGGTGCAACCGCAACAACGGCAGCGACGAACATTCTATGGACGATAGTCCCGCGCGTGCGGCAGCGCATCATCGACAGCTTCAATGCCGAGCAGCGGGCCGCCTTCGACCGCGAGTTCTCCTTCTTTGATGCCGTCACCTCCATCTCGGGGACGCTCCGACCCGTGCCCAAGGAGAAACGTCGGGCTGCCATCCAGCCGTACGTGCTTTGCTGTGTAGTGAGGAGGGATTGGGGGTGAGGGGGGGGGCTGGAAAACCACAGGTTTGACCGCAAGTTCACTTTCTTTGATGCTGTCACGTCCATTTTGAGGACGCTCCGGCCCGTTCCTAAGGAGAAGTGCCGCACCGCCATCCAGCCGTACGTCCTTGCGAGTGTAGCAAGGGAGGGGAGAGGGGTGGGGAAGGTGGGGGTCAAACCGCGAGTTGTCCTTCATCGATGCTCTCGCATCTATCTCAGGGACGCTCCAAGGGGGTGGTGATGATAATGCTGCGTGGCGACAACTTGTACGCGTGCCCTCAACACCCTTTGAACCCAACACTCTTGGAACCCAACACCCAACACCCAACATCCAACACCCGACACCCTGTCATTCCCAGCATTTTTTCAACCCCAACAACCTCCTTCTTCCCCCCACCGCAGCGAGCTGGAGAAGATAAAGCTCCCGGGAGACGATGTGTATCTGCCCACGGATCCCAACATGCTTGTGCGCAGCATCGTGCTGGACAGTGGCATTCCCCTGCAGTCCGCCAAAAAGGTACACACCTTGGTTGGTTGAGCAGCTTGGATGAGTGTTTTTGGGGACGTTTGAAAACCTTTGCGAGCTCCAAAAGCCGCCTCTTCTTCTTCCAGCGACACCATACTGACGCTCCGCTTTCGAGACTCTTCTCTCACCAAAGGGTTACTGTAACTTACTGTAATGATGCCCCTCACTGTGCTGTGCTGCTAAGGCTTACTGAAATTCCCCACACCCCCAATGGGAAGCACACCTTCGTCCACCCTCCTCTCCTCTTCCCCTCACTCCCTTCTCAGCCCCTGCTTCCCAACTGCTCATTCTGATCTTGTCCCAAGGTGCCGGCAGCGCCTGTGACATGTGCTGGCATCAGGGCGCCTCAACTGTCATAGGCACACACGGAGCAACCTCTTCTCCCACACGGCTGACACGTGCTGCAACCTCTTCCTCCCTCCTCCCCCCCACCAGGTGCCCATCCTGATATCCTTCATGGTGGTGCGCAAGGACGAGGACGGGGTGGTGGACGAGCACACACAGAGCACACGCAGAGCACCCACAAGGCTGACACGTGCTGCAACCTCCCACACACCTCTCCCCCCTCCCTCCCCACAGGTGCCCATCCTGATCTCCTTCATGGTGGTGCGCAAGGATGAAGACGGGGTGGTGGACGAGCACAAGCCCGTCAAGCAGTGCTACAATCTCCCCCCATACCCCCTTCCCCCACCGTTCCCCCACTTCCCCCTCTCCTCTCCAGGTGCCCATCCTGATATCCTTCATGGTGGTGCGCAAGGACGAGGACGGGGTGGTGGACGAGCAAACGCAGAGCACCCACTTCATCCACACACATGCCCCCCTCTCCCCTCCCCACAGGTGCCCATCCTGATCTCATTCATGGTGGTGCGCAAGGATGAAGACGGGGTGGTGGACGAGCACAAGCCCGTCAAGCAGGGATGCATCTTCAAGGTGGGTGCTCACATCTCGTCTTTGCTTCCATCCTGCTGTGCTGGGCCCAAGCAGTCATGCTGTAATCGTTTTTCATAACACCTTTTCACCGTGATCATATCTCCTTCTCTGATCCGGTTGTGCCCAGCCCAGCCAGTTCACTCACTGCTCTGCCAACGTGGCATACTCTTATACTTGCAATTACATTCTGTGTTGTGTGGGAAATACGCCAGAGTTCGTCACACCCTGACCTTTTCTTGGCGCCATGCCCTCTGTCTCCTCCTCATGGTGCTGTGTTGCCCTCGCAGGTGGGGGATGACTGCAGACAGGACGTGCTGGCTCTACAGGTCAGTCCCACTCCACCCTTGGCACCTCACAGTCAGACCCACGTGGGAACCGCAGGTGGGAACTGCAGGTCGGAGCTCCATCAGTTCCCCCCATCAGTTCCCCCCATCAGTTCCCCCCATCAGTTCCCCCCATCAGTTCCCCCCATCAGTTCCCCCCATCAGTTCCCCCCATCAGTTCCCCCCATCAGTTCCCCCCATCAGTTCCCCCCATCAGTTCCCCCCATCAGTTCCCCCCATCAGTTCCCCCCATCAGTTCCCCCCATCAGTTCCCCCCATCAGTTCCCCCCATCAGTTCCCCCCATCAGTTCCCCCATCAGTTCCCCCCATCAGTTCCCCCCATCAGTTCCCCCCATCAGTTCCCCCATCATTTCCGCCCATCAGTTCCCCCATCAGTTCCGCCCATCAGTTCCCCCCATCAGTTCCCCCCATCAGTTCCCCCCATCAGTTCCCCCCATCAGTTCCCCCATCATTTCCGCCCATCAGTTCCCCCATCAGTTCCGCCCATCAGTTCCCCCCATCAGTTCCCCCCATCAGTTCCCCCCATCAGTTCCCCCCATCAGTTCCCCCATCATTTCCGCCCATCAGTTCCCCCATCAGTTCCGCCCATCAGTTCCCCCCATCAGTTCCCCCCATCAGTTCCCCCCATCAGTTCCCCCCATCAGTTCCGTCCATCAGTTCCCACATCAGTTCCCCCCATCAGTTCCCCCCATCAGTTCCGCCCATAAGTTCCCCCCATCAGTTCCCCCCATCAGTTCCCCCCATCAGTTCCCCCCATCAGTCCCCCCATCAGTACCCCCCACCAGTTCCGCCCATCAGTTCCCCCCATCAGTTCCCCCATCACTTCTCCCCATCAGTTCCTTCATCAGTTCCCCCATCAGTTCCCCCCGTCAGTTCCCCCCATCAGTTCCCCCATCAGTTCCGCCCATCAGTTCCCCCCATCAGTTCCCCCCATCAGTTCCCCCCATCAGTTCCCCATCAGTTCCCCCCATCAGTTCCCCCATCAGTTCCCCCCATCAGTTCCCCCATCAGTTCCCCCCATCAGTTCCCCCCATCAGTTCCACCATCAGTTCCCCCCATCAGTTCCCCCCATCAGTTCCCCCCATCAGTTCCCCCATCAGTTCCCCCCATCAGTTCCCCCCATCAGTTCCCCCCATGTTCCCCATCAGTTCCCCCCATCAGTTCCCCCCATCAGTTCCCCATCAGTTCCCCTTATCAGTTCCCCCCATCAGTTCCCGATCAGTTCCAGGTCGGAACTGCAGGTGGGAACTGCAGGTCGGAACTGCAGGTGGGAACTGCAGGTGGGAACTGCAGGTCGGAACTGCAGGTGGGAACTGCAGGTGGGAACTGCAGGTCGGAACTGCAGGTGGGAACTGCAGGTGGGAACTGCAGGTCGGAACTGCAGGTCGGAACTGCAGGTGGGAACTGCAGGTCGGAACTGCAGGTGGGAACTGCAGGTCGGAACTGCAGGTGGGAACTGCAGGTGGGAACTGCAGGTGGGAACTGCAGGTGGGAACTGCAGGTGGGAACTGCAGGTGGGAACTGCAGGTGGGAACTGCAGGTGGGAACTGCAGGTGGGAACTGCAGGTGGGAACTGCAGGTGGGAACTGCAGGTGGGAACTGCAGGTGGGAACTGCAGGTGGGAACTGCAGGTGGGAACTGCAGGTGGGAACTGCAGGTCGGAACTGCAGGTGGGAACTGCAGGTGGGAACTGCAGGTCGGAACTGCAGTTGGGAACTGCAGGTGGGAACTGCAGGTCGGAACTGCAGGTGGGAACTGCAGGTGGGAACTGCAGGTGGGAACTGCACGTTTGTGCTCCCCACGGGGTACGAGCGCGGCATCATCCAGGTGGTCCCCAACACGCTGTGAGACGTCTCAGTCAACTCTTGCACTCCTCCCTCTGCCACTGCCACAGGTCATCGCCCTGCTGAGAGACATCAACAAAGCGGTGGGCCTGGACTTGTACCTGTTCCCGTACGGCGTGCTCCCCACGGGGTACGAGCGCGGAATCATTCAAGTCGTCCCCAACACGCGCAGCCGCAACCAGATGGGCGACGTCACGGACGGCGGCCTCTTTGACATCTTCCAGAACGAGTTTGGCGCCATCGGCTCCGCTGGGTTCGAGCGCGCGCGGCATAATTTTATCGTCAGTAGTGCGGCGTATGCTGTGGCGAGTCTGCTGCTGCAGCCCAAGGACCGGCACAACGGGAACCTGCTTGTGGATAAGTAAGATAACGCTAACGCTGGATATGTAGTAGATGATGTAGTGGGCTGTAGAGATATGGTGTATCGAGTCTGTCTACATGTAAGGTCACATTGGATGCCATAGCGGCGTATGCTTTACTGTGCCTGTCTGTCTCGCCATGCACCTCATCATCTCTCCACCCTCTCCCCAGCCCCTCTTATGAATCCATCACTCTCCCACATCCCTCACCCCGCCCCTCCTGCAGCGATGGCCGTCTAGTGCACATAGACGTTGAGTTCATCATTTGAGGTGCCCCAAAACCAGACTTCTCACCATGCACTTCATCATCTCTCTCCCACATCCCTCGCCCCTCCTCTCCTGCAGTGATGGCCGTCTAGTGCACATAGGCTTTGGGTTTAACCTCGAGACGTCGCCAGCTGGCAACAACTCATCATCTCCCGTCACCCCTCTTATGAATCCCTTTCTCTCGCACATCCCTCACCCCTCCTCTCCTGTCTCCAGTGATGGCCGCCTGGTGCACATTGACTTTGGATTCATCCTGGAGACGTCGCCAGCTGGCAACCTGCGATTCGAGAGTGCGCAGTTCAAGCTGAGCCACGAGATGACTCAGATCCTCGACCCCTCGGGCGACCTCAAGAGCGAGCCCTGGCACCGCTTCGTTGGGTGAGTGAGATGAGAGGGGCTTGGATGCTGTTATTTTTTATTTCGCATACACTTGCATGGTGTACTTGCCTACTCGTAGTGTCCATTCACATTTCCCCTTTTCTCATCGGCATGTGGTTGTTCGCTGTTCTTTTTCCGTTTAACATAGACCTTATCCTATACATGACAGCGTCTCGTACCCTCACTCCTGACTCGACACTGATTATTTCTCGCCCTCCATGCCCCATTGCAGTCTGTGTGTGAAGGGCTACCTGGCAGCACGGCGGCATCAGGACGCCATTCTGAACACGGTGCAGCTGATGCTGGATAGCGGCCTGCCCTGCTTCTCACGCGGCGATGCTGTTGGCAACCTGAGGAAGCGGTTCCACCCGGAGATGGGCGAGCGGGAGGCGGCAAGCTTCATGATTGCCACTTGCGTGGATGCGTACAACAAATGGACGACTGCTGGATATGATTTGATCCAGTACATGCAGCAAGGCATTCAGAAGTAGTGTCCAAAAGGCTGTAGTATTCCAATATTATTTTGTGGTGCGTGCTACTAATGAGTTGTCTCTGTTCCAGCTTTGTCAATTCCCGCTTTGTGTATTTAATGGTTAGGATGCAACTTTTATCGTCTGTCCTATATATAGACTGTGTATGGCTACATATCTTCAGGCTTACATGATGTGCAACTGTTTTCGTTGGAATGCTACGGATACGTTTCTAAACAGACTCATCAAAGACTTGTCCATCTCTCCATCCTCCAGCCAAATCTCCACGCCTGTCACAATTCGCAAGCACATGTACGTGCTTCGAAATCTGGTCGCATGAAAGCATTTCGTGCCATCTCTCACGCCATGGCTTCTCGCGGCGTCTCCTCGTCCCTCCCAAGGATGCGGGTCCTGACTCCCGCGAGCTCCACCGGTTCAACCTATGCAGTCGCAAGCCTGTCGCCGGCCGTACGTGGACGCGTGAATCTCAGTGTCGCAAGCATTCGCACGTTCGCGCGTTCGGAGCATTCGCAAAGCCCTCTGGCAGGCATTGGCTCTTCGCTCCGTCGCGCGGGTGGTGCGAGCGACGAAACATTGCGTTCAGGCAAAGAAATTAGACGATTTACTGTTAATAATTCAAGCAGCAAACGATCCGTCGATGTCAAAGCACAGGCTGGCGGAGGAAATACGGGCTCTGGGGGAAGCAAAGGCGGAGGAGGAGGAGGCGGAGGGGGAGGCGGTAGCGGCGGAAGCGGTGGTGACGCGAGCAACAGCGGAGTTCCCCCTTCAGGTCTTCAATTGCTGGCCCTGAGGTAAGCGAAATTTTCAAAATGCGATTGGTTCGTGAGCTTCGTGGACGTGATCGCGCGACAGGATGAAATCTACCGTGCTTTGAGTGCTGTCGTCACCTACCTTTCTCTCCCCACCCGCCCGCTCCCCCTCACTCCCTCCCTTTCCCCCCTTTCCGCCCTCCCCACTTTTCCCCTTATCTTCTCCCCTGGCGTCAGCTACATGGCATCGCTAGAGTCACGACCGTTTGTGACAAAGGGGATCACGGCCGGCCTGTTGAACGCACTTGCAGACCTTTTTTGCCAGGTATGTCTAAAGGATGCACCCTCTTTCTTGAAAAACGGTCGTGTTGTGGCTCACTTGCCTCGTTGAGATGCTCCGCTTCACATGACTGATGAACGCGCTTGTTTTCACATGTCTGACAAATGCATTTCACGTGCTTTTCATGCAGAATGCTATTAAGAAAGGAATTTGGAGAGTAGAAGCTACTCTTACCAGTACTCTTTTCCCCGTTTTTGCGATTCTCATCTCCCTGTTTCCAGCTTGTGGTGGAAAAGAACCCATCCATTGATGTCCGACGGCTGGGAGGCTTCGCTGCCATTGGACTATTCATTGTCGGCCCCGCTTTGCACATCTGGTGAGGCCCGCTTGTTTTAAATCTGCCTGCTCTACGTGAGCAATGGATTGCAGGCTTCCACTTATTTGTCTACAGGAAAATAAGTGTTGATTTACAATGTGTTCTGTGTGTGGTTACAGGTATGGCCTGCTTGGAAAGTTTATTCAAATTGAGGGTTTCAAAGGAGTTCTTGCTCGATTGCTCATTGACCAGGTAAGGCTATTTGTTCCTTTAGACTTGCCATTTGGACGGATTGGACATGGTTATGGTGCTGGTTAGGCTACATTCTCCTTTGCAAAGCATATATTTGGTGGTTCTTTTTTTTCATCAAGTGCTCAATGCCGTTTTCTATCTTTGTGCACAACAGGTGATATTCTCCCCTCTTTCGATTGCCACATTTGTGGGGCTGGTGATGCTGCTGGAGGGCAAGCCAGAGCGCATTGTTCCTAAGCTGGAGAAGGTGAGAAGCTCACAGGGGACGGTTGTGGAGGCATACTTGCTGCAATGATGTGTGCTGATGCCCTTTGCTATGATTGAGTTTTACTATGAGTGTTCTAGGGAGGATGAGCATGGATTTGTTGTTGTATGATCTCACCTGGCGCTTGCTCCTATGAAGGATTTTGTGCCAACGTGCATCAACATGTGGAAGCTCTGGGTGCCGTTCCAGCTGTTTAACTTTGCCCTTGTGCCTCCACAATTACAGGTATGCACTAGACTAGATCCAGGGCGTCTTATTTTCACTCTATGTGGTTCTTCATCTTACCGCATGTGACTATTCTTTTCTTGTTGAGCAGGTTGGTGCTGTGAATCTAGTGGGCCTAGTCTGGACCGTCTACATGTCCTTCGCAAGCCACAATGATATTAGTGATGCTAAATCCCATGAGAAAAAGGAACCTGCATCTGCTTAGGGTGTAGAATTTTGTTGTCTAGGTTGCCACTGTGAGTTGCCTTTTATGACGTACATAGTGTTGTAAACCCCAGCGAGTTGCTTTTGGGTCTCATTGTAACTTGATTGGTTGCCGCTGTGCAAATTCGTTGATCTGGTCAAGCAGGAACCAGAGGGCGCGATGAGAGGGACAGACATGTCCGACGCCTTGCCCGATCGTGAATCCAACGGCCAAGAAATTCGCAGCCAGTCGTCAACTATCTCAGCGGTTCTGTCCCCCAATCTTGCGGCCAAGCGTTCTCGCCTCTGCGAACAGTCCCCCAGCCCCACCAACTTTTACACGCGGAACGTCCCTCCGCTCCGCCCCTCGCCATTGTAGCGCGGGACCTGGGCGGGCACCAACACTCCGCCTACCAATTATCCTCCTCTTTTTCGTTACCATTTTCACCTCACCCAACTCCACTACAATTTACTCTACTTTCTCCCACCTCCCTGATTTTTTTAGCAGGCGAAACACCCTCCACTCCACCCCTTCACGCGCTTTCCCCTTCCTGGCCTTGTCCAGCTAGAGTTCCCTCAGAACTAATCTCCCAGATAATCCCAGTGGCCATTGCTGGCGTTCATTTCTGTGACAAGTTAATTCACGGCATTGCGTTGACCTTAGCTCTGCCTGTAGCACCGCATTGTGCCAACGTATCTGAGAAATTTACGTTGTCTGTCAATTTCGGGTCTCTGCTCTAGCAACGATTGTAGTGGTTTCGTGCCTTTTCCTGTCAGCCATTGTCAAGGCAGAGCCACCGTCGAGCCACACAGGACTTGTCGAATACAAATAACTGCTACTATTAGTAGCTATAACCAGAATACCGTAGTAGTTACAGACACTTAACTCCGCGCGGCAATGGCGGGGGGTGGTCTGCGTGTGGACGTATCAAGAGACGAAGGCGACGAGCATGCGGAGGGAACGGCGCAGCCCAAGGCGAGATTCTCCGGCGGGTCGCCGTCGGGCGAGTCGTCGCTGGTGCAGCAGCGCTTCCCGTCGTCCAAGATGAAGGTCGACGAGCTCTTCATTCAATGGCTCTCTCTGCCCGAATCGCAGAAGCTGGTGGGTTCGCCTTGCGAAAGCTGGCTCCGTTAGGGTTGGCTTTTGCAAGGGGTGGCCTCTCAAGAGTTGGTTCCGCTAAAGTTGATTCCGCTAGGGTTAGCTTCGCAAAAGGTTGGGCTCGCGGGGGTTCTCTATGGCTAGGGTTAGCAGTGTCGGAATGACCGCAAGCTGCCTCTGTTGCAAGGTTAGAGTTTGCGCATGCAAGGCGAGTGCTTGTTCGGAAATTGCTGGAGGGAGTGACCCATGCCATGGCGACGACGATCTGTTAGAATGGGAAGGGAGATGTGAGTATCCGACACACGCATTCGTGGCTGAAGATATTTCCACCAGAGTGACTGGGGAAAAAAAAAATGGATGAAGTACCAATGGACCTCCGTTCCCGTTCGTGCATTTCTAGATTCGTCCCTACCGCTCGCTGTTCATCGTCGTGGTTCGCTTATTTCTGATTGATGACTCGTTTTCGCTCGAGACGTTCGAAAGTCAATGCTGACTTCTTCCCTCTCAAACCCGGCCGTCTCATCTGCCACGTGTCACGATCCAGGTGATGTCGTTATTGGAAGACGCCAAAGCAGGCCGCCCGCTAATAGCCCCCGGAGGCCCCAACTCTCACAGCGCAAGCGGAAGCCTCTCCCCGCTCTCCCCCACAAGCGCGTCGTCGCTCTTCGGCGCAACCCCCCCGCTCTCCCCGCGGAGCGACAAGCCGATGTCGCCCAAGTCGCCGCTGCGTCGCCAGGCGTCGGGGCTGAGCCACGCTGGGTCGCCCGTGAAGCCGCACGCGAACCGAAGCTTCGAGGCGATTCCGCAGTTCTACTTCCCGAACGGCCCGCCAGCGACGGAGGACGTGGCGAAGCAGTGCATGGTGAAGATTCATCAATTCTTCCACGAACACCCCGAGGGGCTCAACGCCGAAGGTGCGTACGCGGGAGGGTGTGCGGGTGGGCGCGCGGGAGGGTGGGCGGAGGGTGGAAGGTTTACCCTTGAGAGAGGGAGGACGTGGCGAAGCAGTGCGTGTTGAAGATCCACCAGTTCTTCCACGAACACCCCGAGGGGCTCAATGTGGAAGGTGCGTACGCGGGGACCAGAGGGGATGCGGAGGGGTTGGGGTGAGGGGGGGTCCGCGGGAGGGTGTGCGGGGAGGTGGGGGAAGGGTGGAAGGCTTACCCTTGAGAGACGGAGGACGTGGCGAAGCAGTGCATGGTGAAGATCCACCAGTCCACGAACACCCCGAGGGGCTCAACGTCGAAGGTTAACGTACCCTCTCCCCTCACCCCACACTCCCTCTCCCCTCTATCTCCTCCTCTCTCTCTCTCCCTCTCCCCTCTCCTCCCCCCACTCTCCCTCTCCCCCCTCTCCCCCTGGTCCGAGCAGCGTTCATGGCGGTGACACAGGAGGTGTGCAACCTGCCGTCCTACTTCAAGCACCACACTGGTCACATACCCCACCCTCTCTCTCCCCACCTCGATCCCTGCCTCCGCGCAATCACCCCCTTTCCCCTCCGCGCAGCGTTCATGGCGGTGACACAGGAGGTGTGCAACCTGCCGTCCTACTTCAACTCGGTCATCTTCCAACGCATTGACTCCGAGTCCACTGGCCTCATCACCAAGTGAGTGCTCGCCTGCTCGCCTCGTCACCACGTGAGAACGAAGCTGGCTGGCATGCTCTCCTCCTTCCCTCTTCTCCCAACTGCGTCCATCCCCTTCTCGTCCCCCTCTCTCTCAAATTCCCATCCATCATTTCCAACCCCCTCCCCGTCCCCACCATGCGTTCATGCGAATTCGGGTGGATCAGTGCGCTTATCCAAGCGTCTCAACCCCACCCTCCCCTTTCAACCCCTCCCCCTCCCGGCATGGTCCAGGGACACGTTCATGCGGTTCTGGGTAGACCGGCGGTTGCTGGCAGCGGATATGGCGACTCAAATCTTCCACGTGCTCAAGCAGGACCACCAGAACTACCTCGTGCAGGTACTACCTCGTGAGGTACTACCTCGTGCAGGTACTACCTCGTGCAGGTACTACCTCGTGCAGGTACTACCTCGTGCAGGTACTACCTCGTGCAGGTACTACCTCGTGCAGGTACTACCTGGTGTTAAAGCACGTACATCGTGCAGGTATTACCTCGTGCAGGTATTGTCTGAAGCAGGACCACCAGAACTACCTCGTGCAGGTACTATCTGAATGAACCACTTCATTCATCCCAGCCCCACACTTCCAGCTCTTCATGAGCACAGTACAGCACTGATTTGTCACCCTGGTCTGCTCTGCCTCACTCCTTACGTCATCTCTAACCCTCTCCTGCAGGCAACCCCTGAAGCCCGCGCCACCTTTCCTTCTCCCCCCCCCTCTTTCCCTTCGCTCTTTCCCCCTGCTGCTTTCCTTTCTTCCCCCCCCCCCTGCTTGCCCCCATCACTGCAGGACGAGTTCAAGCCCAGCATACGCGAGCTGCTCAACCGCCACCCTCGCTGACCCTCACTCCCCGTCCTTACTCCCCTTAATCTTCTTCTCTTGTCTTTCCGCCTCCTCCGCTTGTTTCTCCCCATGTGCCCCCATCACTGCAGGACGACTTCAAGCCCATAATGCGCGAGTTGCTCAACCGCCACCCAGGTCTCGAGTTCCTGCACGACACACCCGAGTTCCAAGAACGATACGGTACGCGTGAAACCATCGGGCGGTCTTGTTATGAGGCACTCTAAACATGGATGCCCGACAGAACAAAATGGTATGTGTGGAGCCAATGGGCAGTGGTGTAGGGGACTGGACTGCTGCGTCGAGTAGAGCTGTGGGCGACTTTCTAGCTGTTCCCATGTCTCATTTTCCATCCATTTCCCTCCATTGGTCTCCCTCTCTCTTCTTCCGCTCACGCACCTCCCTTCATACCCGTTTCCCACATTCCCCTTCCTCCCTTTTCCCCTCTCCATCTGTTGCAGCGGAGACGGTGATCTATCGCATATTCTACCACATCAGCCGGTCGGGCAACGGGCGCATCTCACTGAGGGAGCTCAAGAAGAGCAACCTCATGCAGGCGCTGCAGCAGGTGGAGGAGGAGGAGGACATCAATAAAGTGCTCAAGTGAGTCATGGCATGGGATGGTGATTCTCTAAATGCTTTTCAATGCGCTGCAGCAGGTGGAGGATGACGAGGACATCAATAAAGTGCTCAAGTGAGTCATGGCATGGGATGGTGATTCTCTAAATGCCTTTCAATGCGCTGCAGCAGGTGGAGGATGACGAGGACATCAATAAAGTGCTCAAGTGAGTCATGGCATGGGATGGTGATTCTCTAAATGCCTTTCAATGCGCTGCAGCAGGTGGAGGATGACGAGGACATCAATAAAGTGCTCAAGTGAGTCATGGCATGGGATGGTGATTCTCTAAATGCCTTTCAATGCGCTGCAGCAGGTGGAGGATGACGAGGACATCAATAAAGTGCTCAAGTGAGTCATGGCATGGGATGGTGATTCTCTAAATGCCTTTCAATGCGCTGCAGCAGGTGGAGGAGGAGGAGGACATCAATAAAGTGCTCAAGTGAGTTGATAGGAAATGCACTGTGAAGCGCCTGACGAAAGAAAGTTATATTTAATTTGCGTTTTTCCTCCCCTCCTCACTCACTGTCATCTCCACCCCATCGTCGCCGCTCCCATCCCTTCCACTTTGTTTCCCTCCCCCCTTCTCATTATTAAAGACTTTTGAGTCCTTCACTTTGCAGGTACCACTTGTACGAGCATCTCACATGGTGCATTGCACGTTCTGGTTCAACTTCCCCCCTTCCCCACCTCCCTTCACTCCGCAGGTACTTCTCGTACGAGCATTTCTACTTGGTGTACTGCAAGCGCTCTTTCTCAAGTACCTCCCCCTCCTCCCCCCCCCTTCTTCCTCTATAGGTACTTCTCGTACGAGCATTTCTACGTGGTGTACTGCAAGTTCTGGGAGCTGGATTAGGACGGACATTGCAAGACCCATGCCTCAAGTACTTCTCATCCACCCACCCACCCCCTTCCCCTCCCCCTCATGCAGGTACTTCTCATACGAGCACTTCCACATGCTGTACTGCAAGCTCTCTTTCTCAAGTACCTCTCTCCCTCCCCCTCGTTGCAGGTACTTCTCGTACGAGCATTTCTACGTGGTGTACTGCAAGTTCTGGGAGCTGGATTCGGATCACGACTTCCTCATAGACAAGGACGACCTGCTGCGCTACGGCAACCACGCGCTCACCTACCGCATCGTCGAACGCATCTTTGCCCAGGTGGGGATGAGGAAACGGCCGTTTCTCAGGTGGGTGCATCTGAGAAATTGCGCCAACTTCTTGGTGCATTGGTGAGAAAATCGGCACGCCTGACTTTCTTGTGGTGGTGCAGTCTTTACTTTCGGTATGCACCAACTCACGTGGCCGTTCTGTGCCGGTGATCTTCTATCTCTGCACGGCACTCTGTTCAACCATATGTACCAAACCATCCACCTTTTTTCCTCTCGCTGCAGGTGCCCCGGCCGTTCACGAGTGGAGTGGAGGGCAAGATGGGGTACGAGGACTTTGTGTGGTTCATCTTGTCAGAAGAGGATAAGTCGTCTGAACCCAGCCTCGAGTACTGGTGAGTCTCTTTCTAGCTGTCGTTTGAATGGGGGCTGGTTGGGTAGGGTTGTGGGAGTGCAAATCTGTGTGTGTGCATGCAGTTCCCACCCAGGTTCCAGTTCTCATCCTCGCTCACACCCATCCCCAATCCTCGGCTCCTTCCTCCCGTCAACACTGTATTGACACGCCAGGCTTTCTTAGGCGCCTGTAGCAAATCTTTTTTCTGTCCTCCCCTCTGCAATACCTTGGCTCGCATACCAGGTTCCGGTGTGTGGATCTGGACGGGGACGAGCGCATCACAGCCCCGGAGATGCAGTATTTCTACGAGGAGCAGCTGCACCGCATGGAGTGCATGGCTCAGGAGCCTGTGCTCTTTGAAGACGTCGTCTGCCAAATGGCCGACATGATCAAACCCGCGGTGAGCATGAGGAAGGGGGGAGGGTGGGAGGGAATGCTGCTGCACCGCATGGAGTGCATGGCTCAGGAGCCCGTGCTCTTTGAAGACGTTGTCTGCCCAATGGCCGACATGATCAAACCCGCGGTGAGCAGGGGGGGAAGTTGAGATGCTGGTGCAGGCAGGCATGGATGTGCTTAGCTTGGACTGATTGGCTGGATGGGTGGCTACGTTGCATCCTAACCCCTGTGTAGCCTTACTAGGCAGGTTTTTTTTACCCCTGCCCGGGAATGCCCGGACTAGCGTCAAGTGGGCGTCCAGGGCAGAGGAACCCGGGCGTCCAGCGTCTGGACGCCCCGTCCAGACGCCAGCGTAAAAAACGCTGGACGCGTCAGGTGCAACATAGATGGGTGGTCGTGTGCCAAGTGGCTCACATGATCAAACCTGCGGTGAGGGGTGGCTCTCGGCGAGACTGCACAGAGGGGTGGCTCTCGGAGAGACTGCACAGAGGGGTGGCTCTCGGCGAGACTGCACGGATGGGTGATGGAGCTGAAGACCAGTTCCAGGGTTCATGTACCATGTCATTGTCTCTCATGTATATTCGTTGTATTGTGCTTCCCTGAGACCTCCGCTGTTACCATGAGCAGAAGGATGGAGTGATGACACTGCGTGACCTGAAGGGGTGTCGGTTGTCGGGCAACTTCTTTAACATACTGTTCAACCTTAACAAATTTGTGGCATTCGAAACACGCGATCCTTTCCTCATTCGACAGGTGAGCTTTTCCTTGTTCAACAGACTGAGTTGCTTAATAGATTCGTCGCTGCCAAAAAAAATCTACGACGAATGCCACAGGAAGCAAGCTAATATGCACTTCTTCCTTGGTCACAGGAAAGAGAAGACCCCACGTTGACAGAGTGGGACCGCTTTGCTCGAGCGGAATACATTCGGCTGTCTATGGAGGATGAAGGGGATGATGCTTCCAATGGCAGTGCAGAGGTTTGGGATGAGTCCCTTGAGGCTCCCTTTTGACCAGCATAATTTAGGTAGCACCCACAGTGTGATGTCAAATTGATTGAGTGCATAACTCGTGCTGTTGCAATAACGAAAGGGCGTGCCCGTTCGCTAATTACTGAAACCCTGGTTATCTCCTTTCACATAGCATATGTGCAAGTGATGTGCTACACTGATCCAGTGAGTGCTACCGGTAGTGTCATGTAAATGTTCTGTTCTGCAATAAAAATCAATTCCATTGAAGGTTGACCGAAGGTACACGAATCAAGACGACCATTTCAATTGTGGTACCGTACTTGTGACGTCAGCATGTCAAGAAAACGGCGCGAGTCCATGTAACCAACCAACTATGACTTGGATGAGACCTTCATGCTGGTATGGCTGCACCACCGTCGACAACAGCTGACGGCTGCACATCCGTTGATGCCTGCTGTGTGTCAGCACCGTTACTCTCACCAATTTCACTCGTTGCTCCAGCTGTGACGGCATCTGCGGACTTGTCTGTGGAATCAACTCCATCAGCGGTAGGTTCCTCCACGCTCACACTCTCTTGCTCATGCCGCTGCTGTTCCTGGGCCTGTTCATGCCACTTCTTCCTTTCCGCCTGCAATAACCGGCACAGCCCCTCCAGCTTCTGCTTCTGAGCCTGCAGCGTCTCCAGCTGCTTGCGCTGTGCCGCACGCTGCCACAGCAAAACACAGAGACACCGTCAAAGGCAATGGAGAAAAAGAAGCATCTTTGTAAGAGCAGAACCCTCAATCTCTCTTTGGTGAAAGGTCGATAGCAATTACCTCATCAAGAAGCTCAATAAGGGAAACATCAGACTTTTCAGACTTGGCTTGAAGTTCAGAATTGTCCTTCTCCAGCTTCTTGATGCGCTTCGTCATCTGCCATTGGATGGAGATACATCAATCAGCCGGACCGACAAAAAAATGCTCTGTCCAGCAAAGTCCACGGGTGAGCATAAAACTTGCCTTGTCCATTTCCTTCTTCATTGTGCCAAGGACTTCATTGCTCTTGGACAAAGTGCCCTGCATCAAGAAACCTTGCCTTAATGAACCGGCACCATCCAGACTTATGCAACCGACCGCACTATTTTAAGCGAAAAGACTCCTTACCTGGAATTGATCAAACTTATCAATGTATAACGCCAACTGGCCCCTCAGCTCTTTTTCTGTCTTAAGAAGATCAATGAGCTGTTCGCCTCTTGCCTTGCTCTGTTAAAGAGTGGGGCAATGTTATGGAACACAGAATAAATGGAAAAAATAAATATGCTGACAGCGTTTTTCATGATAATCCATCTTGAAACAAACATAATTACTGTTCCAGCTTACCAGAGCCCGTTCTTCAATCATTAACTTCTCTTGCTGCTTATACTTTGCATCCAACAGCTGATACTCAAGGTCTTTCGTCTTGATCTAGGGGCAAAATGGGTATTCAAGCGCAATATCATATCAAATTTCGGAAATACCAAAAGAATCAGGATAAAAAAACACCAGGAAAAGCTTCTCAAAAAAGTAAAGTCACTCACAAGGTGAGCCCAGTACTTCTCCTTGACGTCTGCATGCTCTTGGATTTTCTTGAGTTGCTCGGCAAGACTGCACACATCATTGGATGAAGGGTTGACTAGCGGAATATCAACCCCGCTCATGTGCCATATGAGCTCGGGCGGAACTTGCACAAGCAATCGAAGTCACTGCAATCTTACATGTGATTTTCCTTCAGGTGGCTTGATCTTTCAGCTCCCTGCTCTTCCAATCTGAGTTCAATGTCCTGCAAACAGCCAAATGGAATCACGTGCTTAAATACCATCAACGACAGTGAGGAAGAGCGGCAGCTTAGGTCCTGGAATACCTTGATGGAGTCGAGGAATTTAGATGATAACTCCTCTCGTTTCTGCTGCTGCTCGTTTGCAGCCTTCTTGCTTTCTTCCTGTGCCACCAACGGCATTGACCAGAGAGAAACAGCATGAGAAAATGATCCAGAAGAGGTAAAACGGATAATGGAAGCTTGCTGGAACGTACCAATATGGTCTTGTTTTGCTTCTGAAGTTCACGGCACAAGGTTTCCAATTTGCCACGAAGCGTGGCAGACTTCCTCATTTCGGCCATCACTGAAACAATCAAGAATAAAGCAGGTAAGCACTTCGAGCATGGTATGTTTTGGATCAAAGGCATAAGACAAGCAGAATGAGGAAGCAGTTGTCGCACCAGAGTCGCGTTCCCTTGTTAGTTGATCAATCTTCTTCAGCAAAGCTGCGCTCTCCTTATCGCCAGCCTTAGCTTCCCGTGCCTACAATGGGAAAGGTCAGACAATGAGAGCAAGCGAAAACATTTGAAACTAGTCATGCTCGGCTTACCTGCGCCATAATCTTGGAATGCAGTATCTTAATCTTCTCATCCGCTGGTACTTCAGGGTCATCAACGACACGCCGTATCTGTTCCAAAGGCAGCTTCCCTCCCTTTCCTGCATGAGCGGGATGACGTTTCAGCCTCAAGTTAACAAGGTTTAGCTTAGCCTTGGTGAATGCACGGGGGAGTCTATTGTTCAAAGAAGTATTACCCTGAGATTTGATCTTCCCTTCGGCTGAAGTTGACTTCGACGACGATGCGGACGTACTCGCCTGCTTGCTTTCCACTCCAGTTTCAGCTGTGCTCTCAGCAACGTTTCCCTGTTCTGTAAGACCCTCTTTCTTGTCCACGCTTTGATCGTCGACACGAACGCTTCCATCCTCCACTTCCGGGACATGGACCGTCGCCCCCTTCTGCCGATCCTCTGCCTGCGGAGCTTCAAAACTCGTCATACCTGAATCCGATGGGGGTTGAGCCGAGTCAGCCATCCCTTGACCAAGTATTAGAGTAATAAAAATAACGAGAATCTAATCCAAGTGACGAGAAAGACACGGAGATTCAAGAACACAACAGACAGCCCAAGGCAGAATTCGCTGACCCACCACTAACAACCTCGAGTAGCAGATGAGATGTTGAAAAGCGCAAACACTGTACTTATTACAGCAAGTTCCTGATTCTTCAAACCGTGTATTCAAAATAGAACAGCAAATTATAAAGAGTGAATTATGGTCTATCTCCTAGTATTCCATATCAGCGTCTGCTCCTATACAATGGTGATGAGCAATGCGCATACAGTTTCATAGTACATTAGTTTTGGCCGACATGCTTTGGGTGGCAATGCAACTGACTGCACTGCAGCTTTCTGCAAAGAGCCCTGTTACACTAAAATCAAGTTTGCATCCAAAGAGCCATATGGACATGACTCTCTCCTCCATAACAAACGTACTCAGACCCAGCCATGCAAATTACCTACATGTTGGCATGGTCGGGCCTTGCTACAAAAGCATTGCTACCGTATATGCCTGTACCCTGTTGTCTGTGCATGCGGCCAGCACGTTGTAAACGAATGCACCCCGTTCCATTTCTTCTTTTCACGATAACATGCTCCTTTCTCCGTCCCCCTCAATCCCATGACGTCATGTCTTCTATGCCAGCCAAGCCTTCCTCCAACCCTAGCCTTCCCCTCAACCCCGTTACACCTTGTCCCCTCCATGCCCCTTCACGTCCACTTTCGGATCCACGGATGCTCTGCAGAGACGATGGAAATGAGCAACAAGAACACAGAAAGGAGATTAGGACAAAGGACAACAGAAGCTGGCCGCGATCACCCATGAGCAATGTCAGCCATGTCACCCCACCAGACTACTGTGACCCAACATACCTTCTGAGTGAAGCATCCCGTAATCCGCTATCGTATTGGCTCGTTTCAAGACCCGGGCACCTACCACTTGAGTACCAGCACACCTAATCATGCACCTCGTTTGTTGCCAGATATTTTCCCAGCAGGCTTCATCGTTGGGCCTTTTCTAGCATCCCTTTCAAACCCTCTGTTTCCTTCGATGCCCCAACCATAACTCCCCAGCACCACTCCCCACCAAGTCGTACCTAGCACTTGGCTGGCGGTGAGTCGCCTGGCAGGGCATCTCTCCAGCATGCGCAGCACCAGGTCCTTTGCCTCCTCCGATACCCCCTTCCACCGCTCAGAGCGCAGCGACACGGACTTCTTGAGGATGACATCTGTCACGCTGTGATTGGCCGAGGGCCGGAAGGGCGGTGCACCGCACAGCATGATGTAAAGCACGACCCCGGCGCTCCAGATGTCGGCTTCGGGGCCGTAGCAGCCGCTGATAACTTCTGGTGCCATGTACTCTCGCGTGCCCATCATATCACTCAAGGGCACACCTGGTGGTGATGGCAGAGAAAAGAAAGTGCCAAGAGAGGGAAGGGAAGGGGAGGGAGAAAAAGAAAAAGCACATGATATCGAGCTTGACTCCTGCACTTCATATGTTAGCCTGGGGGCCCAAGATGTCATGGATAAGAGAATGCCGAGGGAGATCACTGTGTAAGGCAAGCTCGTGACACACACCACAAGAACTGTACCTTGCTTGAACGCAGTGGCAATCCCAAAGTCGGCGAGCTTGACCGGGGAGTTGGGGCGTGCGTGCAGCAGGAGGGTGTTCTCGGGCTTCACATCGCGGTGCATGATGCCCTGCCGGTGGCAGTGCTGCAGCGCTGCCGCCACTCCCCTGCACACCCACGCACACACGCCCTCGCTCTGCCGCCCGTTGCGCCGTATCAGATCGAAGAGCTCGCCGCCCGCGCAGAGCTCCGTGACGATGTGGATGTTCTGTGAGGGAAGCAAAGAGACAAAAAAATACACCAAGACCTGAAACCGAGACACCTGGGTCAAACAACCACGATAGTTCTTGCACAGGTTCCCCATCCTATGCGCAACAGTTTATTTCTCCTCTGCATTAACAGCATTCCCAGACAAGCTGAACCCGTGCCATGTCGAGCATGGCTCACCTCGGCATCTTCAAACACAGCCTTGAGCGTCAGCACGTTCCCATGGCCTCTGGCCGCCTGCAGGCAGGCCAGCATGCGCCTCACATCCCCCGCATCCTCCCTGGTGCGAATCCCCTTCTTCTCCACTGTCTTGCATGCGTACAGCTCCCCACTCGCCACTTCCACGCACCTCCTCACCACGCCCAGCTCGCCCTGCCCCAGCACCTCCTTCTTTATAATCACAAACGAGGCTGCTATATCAAAGTACTCCCTGCCCAGCACATGGTGCCTCGGGTGGGAGTCAGCCCCAGCTGCTGCTGCTTCCTCCTCATGCGCCCTCACCCAGATATCAGCATGAGCATCAACATCAGCACCAACGCCACTGCTTGAAGCAGGATTTACATCATCATCATCACCCCCCTCCTCTTCCTCGCTCTCCTCTCCTCCTCCCGCTCTCCCCTCTCGCCCTGCCACCTGCTGCTGATGAAGCGCCACCACGCGTTGCAGCTTGGCCAGGTCCTCAGGCCTCTCCTTGGCCAGCGAGTCCAGCATTCGAAACAGCTCCTCAGATGCACTCCCACCCACTCCCGTCCTACCCCCTCGCTCGTCCTCCGCTTCCTCCTCCTCCGTCTCCTCCTCCTCCTGCTGCTGCCGCCGTGCCACCACCTCAGGGTTGGACTGCTGGGACTTGGCTCGTCGGAGCTTGGCAGAGCCATCTGCGGAACGGGAGGACTTAAATGATCTCGAACGGACAGCACCTACAGGGACAGCGTGTGAGCCGTCAAATTGAGGTTGCGACGGCTGCTGAGTGAGCGAACGTGGTAACCGGGCCGAAACCACACCTGCCTTTTGGCCCGTGCACTGTGGTTCCTCAAACCGGCCTCGGGGCTGGTGGGCTGTGAGCGAGCGGGGCAGGCGGACAGCAGAGGCTGGAGCACCGTGGCCGGTGGTGTTGCGGCGAACCACTTCGGTCGCCTCCCCCCCATGCTGCTGAGACTTGACCCTCCGGAGCTTCTCTCGCTCGGGAGCAACGGAATCTGCTTCTTGACATGGGACGCGCCTTGCCTTGGCGGCACTAGAGCCTTTAGTTGGAGACGAGGAGGTGGATGGTGCAGCAGAGTGAGCAGCAGAGTGAGCAGCAGAGGCGTCTGGGGTGTGCTGAGAGTACACGCGGCGCAACTGGTTCTCCATGTGGGGGGCGGTGGAGGGACGCCTCATACCCTTTGCACAACCAGTGGGATGATTTACCGCACCGACATCCTTCTGCTGCTGCTGCTGCTGCTGCTGCTGCTGCTGCTGCGGGTGATGGTTGGGACGATGGTTGGGACGATGGCTGTTTTGGCCAGATCCCAGACACTTACCAGCAGCAGTACCACCATCCCCGCCCTCCCCATCCTCGTCGACCTCAGACAGGCCGTCGTCTGTCTCTGCCCCCACGTCCTCCCCGTCGCTGCACCAGCCGTGGGCCACAGAGGGGGCATCCATGCAGAACACTCGCCTCAAGCGCCTCCGCCTGCTTCCTACCACAGCACCTGCCTCTCCACCACCCTCCCCTGTATCGCCCTCCCCTGCACCTCCTGCTGCTGCAGCCTTGGCTTTACCTGGTGGTTTCTGACAGCTTCCCACTGCTACAGCTCTCACTCTTTTTTCTGATCCCTCCGCTCCCTCCTTTCCCTCGGGCATACTATTTTTTGATATCTTTTTTCCTTGAGACCCTCTTTCTAGCCCCTGCCCACACGCGAATGGCTCCCGCCCACCCTCCTTCCCTACACTTCCTGTTTGCCGCCTCCCTGCCCTGACATCCAGTACCGTGTGGCCCATAACGCACCCGTTCCTGTCCTGCACTGCCTGTCCGCCGTAGGACGCACTGCGCCTGTGCGCCCCACTGGGTTTACAGGTACGGGCAGCCGGGGCAGGAAGGCCGGGTGGGAGAGCCTTTCCTCTGCTACTGCTACCTCCAGCCCCAGCACCAGCAGCAGTGGCAGCGGCAGCAGCAGCGGATGCCGCAGCTTGGGTGGAAGCAGAGGTGCCATGGAAGGTGCGCGTGTGGGTGAGCGCAGCAGCGGATGGTGCAGTGGGGACTGCAGCACGGCCACCAAAGCTGGCGGATTGGGTGAGTCTGCACTTATGGTCGCGGCTGCTGGGGGGCAATGCAGCTGCAGCAGCATTACCAGTCGCAGCAGCATTGACATTTGCAGCTGCAACAGCATGAGCGCCATGCATGGACGCGTCCATACTCACACCTCGCCTGTGTGATGCGCCTCTCCTGCCCTCCATGCTCTTAGACCGACTGTGCCAACTTTGTTTCAGCTCTGCCTGGCCCTCACTTCCTGACGGCCGTGCCTGCACCATCACACGGCACTGCTCTGACTCCCTCCTCCCTGCTGCCTTCTTCCCATGCTCCCCACTCCTCTCTCGCTCTTCCCTGCTTTCCACGCTAGCCCTGCCTTCAGGTAGCCTGTCCCCCCCATTCCCCTGCAGCTGTATCCTCACCATGCTCTCGCCATCGATTCTAATGTGAACTGCCTCCTCGCTCATATCGCCCGCCATACTTGCATATGCTGACTGTTCGTAGCTCTTGCTCCTGCTCCTGCTCCGCCTCTTCTCTCTCTCCCCCTCTCTCTCCCCCTCTCTCTCCACTTCTCCCTTCCTCCCTGCTACTTCTCCTCCTCTCCTTCTCCTTCCGCCTCCTCTCCTCATCTCTCTCCAGCCCTTTCACCATCACCTCCCCTATCCGCCTTTTGAACTCATCCATCTTTCTCCGCTCCCCGTTTCCATCCCCTTTATTGCCCGCCTCGTTTCCCATCCTCAGCGCCTTGAGTCTGAGGCGAAAGAGGGACATCTTGTTCCCCAGCACCCCATCATCCGAGTGCCTCCGCACCTTCAAATCCTTCAGCTTCTGCTTGAAAAGTGCCATCTTCTCACTCCCTGCGTTGCACTCCGCCAGCCAATCAGAATCCGCCACTTCGCCACTGGTAACATCCAAACCATCCTCGCAGCTACTAGGTCTGCCGAGTCTTCCCCGGCAGTCTCGCCCTTCATCTGATGCAGGAGCCGTATTTGGCCGCACAGAGTGATTCCTGCTTCCCTCTCGCACAACCTTCATCTCCTTATAATCGCTCCAGCAACCCTCCGTGCATTCTTCATCTGCATATCTCAGCCTTGATGCAGTCACATCCGTTTCTGGCACAGGCGGTGTAGCAGAGCGTTGCACCTCCTCGGCTGGACTCGCCTGCTGACTCGTAGCAGCGTCTGAAGGACTCTCTGAATAGTCCAAAACGAGCACATCTGGTGCAGATTGTGGTTGTGGAAGATCCGACGGCTGTGATCGCTTCTCTGAGCTCCTGCTGGGAGGGCGCCTGCTAACACCGTCTGTGCGAGATCGGCTGGGCTTGATAATGGGCCCAACCTCGGTGCTTATATGGGGTAAAACCTCGCCGAGGCTCGCAAGAACAGGGTGGTATTGTTGTGCCGTGGGGGGAGAGTGAGCATCACGGCGGGTCACTGACTGGCTTTGATGCCTGCCTTTGGCATAAGGTTCAGACTGGGAGTGGGGAAACAGCGCCGCTTGATCGCAGAGGTGAACCCTTTCATCCGCATGCGTCTGCGACCGCGGCATGCGTGACTGTATCGGGTGTGACAGGGAGCGGTGTGACTCTGAGCCGTCGGAGCTGGAGAGCGGGAAGGCAGAGGAGCACGGGCTGCTCTGATCGTCCGTCGCGGATGGCGGCTCCCCAGGCGGGGACGGAGACCCGTCCCATATAGTCTGTCGCGGATCGCATCGCTGAGTCGTGGCGTTGTCCGATGGAACGGTCTTTCTGGAACTTCGTTTGGAAGACGGTCGCAACGAGGCGGACTCAGGAGATACCTGGGAAACATGCGTCGTCGTCGCGCTGCCTCCTGCCGTCTGTCTCCGTCTTCCAGTGTCTGCCTTACCACAATCAAGGCGAATGACCGACGTAGCGCTTGAGCCCGAACCACCCGAATCACCGGAACCGCGCGAACCGCTCGAACCACCACGATGGTCGCGAGTAAAGGGCCTGTCCGCGTGAGGAGCCGTAGCCGGCCGCTCCCACGTCACCTTGACGTTGCTCTGGAGCGCTGGATGATGTCCGTCCAGACGATGCGAGCCACCGGACGAATCATGGATTCTCATGGCGGACCGGCAGTCGAGTCTTTCACGCGCTACAGTCGCGTCCGCGTCCGCATCATCCGCTTCCCCCGCCACTGGACGCCTCGACGCGGAATTCGCCGCGTCGTCGAGCCAGCGGAGAACTTCCGCCTGGGTCGCTCCGGCGGGGTGCGGCTGGTGAATGCGAAGCGGCGAGATTCTGGACGTTGGCGGCCTCCGGTGCGCGTGGCTTGAATGGGAAGCCGAATGCGAAGCGGACCGGCAGGGATGATCTTGGATGGAGCCTCTACTGCGTGATCTACGGTGTTGACCGTGCTGAGCCGGCTCGTCGTCTCGGCGATTTCGAGTATGCTCCATGGATTCGAACTCGGCGCGAATTGGCGAATGCCATGTGTTCCGAGGGTCGCTGACAATGGAGTTCTCTGAGGCAACGTTAGCCATTGTGACGGATACAGCTGAACGCACGTGACTCCGCGCTTATTTGCACTGACGATTACCACCACAAGCACAAAGTTGTAGAATCGTTCTTCGCGGATGGATGACTGAATCTGAATCAAATTCGCAACCGATCGTTAGGGACGCCGATCGACGGATACAACTGAATCATTTTACCGAAAATGCCTTGTGATGTGAGGATAGGGACGCCTACATCTAGGGACGGTCATAGCAGCAACCACTAGGCGAACCAATACACAAATGTTCCGTGGTACACCATGGCTGCATCCCTCAATGCCAAGCAGGGCCATGGGTTGAAATGGACTGCTGGCTGCTAATGTGACTGCTAGCTTGCACCCTCTAATATGACCTCCCTGGAAGGTCCAACACACGTATCTGACCGTAGATGATGGGCAGAGACTCAGGCTGGCCTTGGGAATGACGAGCTGTCACGGCGAATTTGGCTGGGAGAGTCGGAGGCAGAGCCGGAGCCGGAGGCGTGAACTGGTGAAGCCTAGGGGTTGGGCGGGACGAGATAGAATCGCTGGATGAGAATCAACGGCTGAATGGGTTCAAAAGCATGTGCTGGATGATGCGGTGTGTGGCCAGCGGAGGCAAGAGGCCGCGAGGCGCGGACAAGCTCCACGACATGCCCCACAAGCACGGCAGGCACCGCGGGACAAAACCTTGGGACGGACAAGCTGGTTGCAGCTGGCGAAATCGGATTATTCAACCACCGGGGCGTCGCAAGGCGATTCTTCGCGTTTCGCCCAGTCACAATGAGCCGTCGATATCACAGTCGATTTCGCCAAGAGAACATGGTTACGGCTCCGGGCAGTGAAGAGCATGAGCGTGTGGAAGGCATGAGTGTTGGTTGGGGAGGGTGTAGGGGGAACATCGGCGAAAACAGTGTGCGTGAGCGAGATCACCTTCCACAAAGAGCCTTATTTCAGTCACAGTTGTTCCCATAACTTAAATAGGTAATTAGTACATTATGAGGGACTAACCTAATTTTAGCAGCACTTCACTAATGATCCCCTACACCTCTTGAAACCATCTATGTCCTGTAATAGATAGAAACACGCAACAACAGATGATAAGACACAGCAACACCAGCCAACACAAAGGTGGGGTAAGGAATGGCAAGAAAAACATGAGTGAGGAAACATGAAATACACCAACATACCTCTTCACTCACACACAGCATTCCCTGTGATTTCCTTACCAAGAGCTTGATGTGCTGTGATTCGCCGGTGCGGGTTCTTGTCCAGCATTGCCCGAACAAGGTCCTTGGCAGCTTCGGACACGCCGACCCAAGCTGCCGAGGCAAAGCGCAGTGGTTCCGAGCGGATGGCTCGGAAAATCCCCTCATTGGTTTCTGCCCAAAAGGGCGGCACACCACAGAGCGCTGCATATGAGACGACGCCAGCCGCCCACACGTCAGCCTGTGGAGACCAGACTCCGTCAAGGGTTTCTGGTGCGAGATAGAGAGGCGTGCCACACAGGGTGCTGCTGCGCACACCTGCAGGAGGGAGGACGAAGAGGGGCAAGGGGTTTGTGGAGGGATGGGATTGATGGAAATGATGCAGCGAAGGGAGGGGAGAAGGTGAGCGTAATAGGTTTGAAGACATCATTATTATATGCTGGTTACCTGGTTGGTGCTCAGCGGCAATTCCAAAATCGATGAGCTTAATGCTGCCAAAGTCACCCTCGGCCCTCGCTAGAAGCACATTCTCCGGCTTCGCATCGCGGTGCAGCACACCGCACGCGTGGCAGTGATCCAATGCTGAAAGCAGCTGGAAACAGACGGAGGCTGCCGCCCGCTCAGTGAGCGGGCCGTTGGTGCGCATGTAATCAAAGAGACCCCCTCCCCGGCAGAGCTCCATTACCAGATGAATATTCTGCCCGTGCAGGATGTGAGAGTGGAGGGGTGTTTGGGGAGGGGAGGAGTGAGCAAAGGTGGGGTGCGGTGGAGAAGATGAGGGTGGCAACACTACATATGTTGTTTAAGACGGTGTGACAGAAGTTGCTTGGGAATAGGGATGGCTGTTGGTCGTTAAGGGCAGGGACGAGCCCCGAAGACTGAGAGACACGCACCTCGTGGTCCTCGAAGACGGCGTGAAGGCGCACGACATTGCAGTGCCCCGCCACTCGCTCCATCATCTCCACCTCCCTCCTCAGGTCCCGCGCCTCCTCCGCTGACTGCCACACATGCCCCAGGGAATGGAGAGGACGGGGGGTGAAAGATGGAGGAAGTGAGGATGGAAAGTGATAATCTTCTAGTAATCTTCTCCAACTACCCCCACCAACCACCGCCCTTTCACATTGACGCCCTGCCCTCTAGCGACTCTCCCAGCACCCCCCTGCAGCAGCGCACTCACGTGAATGGAGTCCTTCTCGATCGTCTTGCACGCCAGCATGACTCCCGTCTGCACCTCGCGGCACACGCGCAAGACGCTGAACTCGCCCATGGCCACCACCACCTCGCTACCCCCTGTAACCACCCAAACCAGTGCACTCACGTGAATGGAGTCCTTTTCAATCGCTTTGCACGCCAGCATGACGCCCGTGTCCACCTCACGGCACACGCGCACGACACTGAACTCGCCCATGGCCACCACCTCGTGGCGCCGCACCTCAAACTGCTCCGCTATGTCGCTGAACGGCTGCCCCAGCACAAGGGGGGCACACTCGCACCACGCTGAACTCGCCTTATGAGACATCCCAGAAATCTCTCTAGCCACCCTTTAGCTACCCCCTCTAACCACCCGCCCCACTCACATGGATAGAGTCTTTTTCAATGGTCTTGCACGCGAGCATGACTCCAGTCTCCACCTCACGGCACACGCGCACGACACTGAACTCGCCCATGGCCACCACCTAGCTACCACCTGTAACCACCCACCCCACTCACGTGAATGGAGTCCTTCTCGATCGTCTTGCATGCGAGCATGACCCCAGTCTGCACCTCGCGGCACACGCGCACGACACTGAACTCGCCCATGGCCACCACCTCGTGGCGCCGCACCTCAAACTGCTCCGCGATGTCGCTGTACGGCTGCCCCAGCACAAACGCGCGGAACACCGCGTCCATGCCCACTCGGTGCCGCCGCGGCCCCACCCACCCCCTCCGCTCCTCCTGTGTTTCTGCATTGACTACCCCCTGCTGCTGCAGCTGCTGCTGCTGGTGGTGTTGCGGCTGGTGCTGGAGGGGGGGGTGATTCAGCTGTGGGTGCTGCTGCTGCTGCTTGAGCTGCTCCAGTGCGTCTAGTCGCTGTTGAATGCGCAGCCCCTTCTGCACCATCGCAGCATCATGGGCCGTGAACGACGCACTCAGCTGCTGCTGCTGCTGTGGAGGAGACTGCTGCTGCTGCAAATGCGGAAAGGCGATTCGTTTTTGCGCAAGAAACACCTGCTCCCTTTCATCGCCCGGGGAACCCCTCCTTGCACTAGCAGGTGAAAACCCACCGCTGCTGCTACCGGGTGAATATTCCCTGCCTCCGCCAACCACAACCCCTGGAAGCCCCACTTCATCCTCCTCCCGCTCCTGCTCCCACCCCATTTGCCACTCTCGCTCCAGCACCCTCGTCGCCTCGTCCTCCCCCTCAGGCGTCCGCGGACTTGGTCCCCCGGCTGCTGCTGCCCGGGAAACAACCCCCCCTGCCACTCCGCCTGCTGCCCCCGCTGCTGCCCCCGCTGCTGCCCCAAATCCTCCCACTCCGCCCACCCCTCCCCCTGGTGCTCCACCTGCAGCGCCCCCCCCTGCTCCCAGCGCCGCCCCCGCGCCCCCTCCGCGGGAGGGCATTCCGCCTTGCATGAGCGCGGAGCTATCGAGGGACATGGTGCGCTGGTGCTGGTACCGCGCCCCCCGCTCCACCACTGACCCGTACTGCCCCTTTCCCCGCACCAATCCTCCCCCCATGCTGCCTCCTCCCCCCACTCCTCCCCCCGCTCCTCCCGCAACTCCCCCAACGGGCCTTCTCTCAATACTCCCCCCACTGGCGGATCTGAGCACTCCGCCCATCCCCCCTCCTGCGCCCGTGCCCCCTGCTGCACCAGCGCTGAGCCTCCTCCCCTCTTCCCCCTCTCCGCCCCGCTCGCCCCACTCGCTGCTGACCCGCCTAAGCGCGCGCGGCGGCTTTGCCGTCGCAACAGGGGGAAGGCCATCCATTCTGTTACCGCTGCCGCTATTCGACCTAAAGAATCCCTGCCCGGAACCAGTATTGGATCTTAAATACACTGGACCGTTACCCGCCTCCGCGCCACTTGCCCATCCTCCACCTCCGCCGCTTCCCCCTTGCTCCCCTTCCAGATCAAGCCTATCCACCCCCAATCCATCCGCCCAAGCTGATGCGCCATCCCCCGCGGACCCTCCGCCGCCTGCGCCTCCGAATCCCCCTCTGTCGGCGGGAAGCAGCTCCGCCAGTTGGCCCATGGACCGCATCCGCGGACGGTGTCCGCGCACTGGGGGAGGGGCCCCGCGCGGTTGGAGCGCCGGGGGGCCAGCGGGGGGTTGCGGAGACGCCTGCTGGCGCATCTGGTGCTGGTGCGCGGCGGACATCTGCGCCGAGGGGGCGTGCTGCTGCGGCGGGTGCAGCTGCGGCGCGAATCGCTGCGCGTGGCTTGCGCCTCCCCCCCCGCGTCCAGCGCCAGCGGCGGCAGCCGCGGAGTCGACCATCCCGGGGCGCATCGCCGGCGAAGTGGTGGCCTTCTGAAGCCGCCGCTGATTGGCTGAATCCATCACCGGAAGTGATACCTGCCGCTGATACTGCTGCTGCTGCTGCTGCTGCTGCTGCTGCTGCTGCTGCTGGTATTGTTGCTGTTGCTGCTGGTATTGCTGCTGCTGCTGGTGCTGTTCCTGCGTCAGCAGCAGCCGCTGCATCTGCACCTGCTGCACTTTCGGCTGATCGCCGCTCACATCCAGAACCTCCCACGTGCTTGTTTCCGCGCGCGACGCCGACATCATGCGCCGATGCATCCGCTGCGCCGGGGGGCGCTGTGGGTACACCCCCTGCTGCGGAGGCTGCTGCAAAGGTTGCGCCGACGGCGGTGGCTGCGCCGGCGGCTGCTGCGGCCGGGAGACTCCGCCACCGGGCACGGCCATTCCTCTTGCCGGACCTCCGCCCGAACCTGCCGGAAAACCGTTAGATCCGGAGCTAAAGCTACCCGGGGCAAACGCTGCCGGGCCTGCATTTGGCGCGGGCATTTGCCCTCTCACGGCGCCCAACGGTCTTCGCGGACCGTCGATCGCGTTAAGCTTTCGTGCGGGCTGCGACAACGAACGGTTGAAACCGCGTGACTCGCTCGCACCATTGCCAGCTGCGGTCCCCACTCCCCCCGCGTTTCCCCCCATCCTGGCGGAAGCAGGCGGCGGGGGGATCCTTGCGCGGACCTGTGCGGGACCAAACCATCCGGTGTCGGCGGAAGGCATCGTTGCGAGCTCGTGATTCTCGTCGTCCGAAAGGGTCGGCGATTCTGGCGAAACCGATGTGCGACTGTTAGTCGTGAGAACTTCCGTCGCTTGAACGTCCTGCGACGGCTTGCGAGGTCGCACAGCCTCGCATCGCAGCAGCTGCGGGACAGGCTCTTCGTCGTCCATTGGATCGGAAACAAGAGGGAGAAACAGAGAAATACTCCCTAAGGCGTTGACGTCATACAGAATTTAGAAGGGCGGAGAGGAGCGGAAAGGAATGGGGAATGTGATCTGTTGATCTGAGCTCAGCGGTCAGAGTGAGGTGAGAGGAAAGAAGAAGTAGCTGTCGCGACTCGCGGCGTACCAAAACCAGGTGACAGTTTCGAGAAACAGAAGCAAACAGATTCCTCGAGATTGGTTGGGGACGTGCTTGTAACGAGGGGTTTCGACGCTGGAGGGGCCATAGTCGGAAATAGTCGGTACGGCAAGAGCTGTCGCGTAGCAGCATTTGCCATGACCGAGAAAGGACCACACTAACCTGAAACACTTCAATTGTAATTCCCAGTTATGCTAAGGACGATACTTTTTTCAACCTTACCATTGAAAATGCAGATAACTTACATTCACATCACTGTGACATCCACATCCTTTTCCCCTTTGAGAACTGCTTGGATTCCTCTTGACAGCTGCTCTATTTTGAACGGCTTCACTGCATAGCCATCCATCCCCGCTTCATAGCACTGCTCTTTATACCCTGCCATCGCATGTGCAGTCAATCCCAAAATAGGAGTCCTTGCTCTTGCTTTTGGGGACCTTTTATTGCCAGCGTTACCTAATTCCAATTGCCGTATTCTTTTTGTTGCCTCCAAGCCATCCATAACAGGCATCTGTGCAGAGAAATAATAGACACAAGATGACGGCACAAGGTAAGCAGTAGGAAAGAAAGGAAAGGAGAGACGAAATCAAGACGGGACATAGGCACCGCCCCAACTCCACTCCACCCCATTACCCACACCCTCCCTCACCTGAATATCCATCAGAATGACGTCGAACGACGCCGCCCGCTCCTCAATGGCAGTGAGCGCCAGCTGTCCGTTGCCAGCAATCTCCACCGTCGCGCCCACCTTGGTGAGAGCGTGCTTGGCCACGCGCTGGTTGACCATGTTGTCCTCTGCCAGCAGCACGCGCACCCCCACCAGTAAGAGCGGGCCCCGGGTTCGACTGGAGGGCACCAGAGGGCCGGACATGGACTTCACTGGCGTGCGCACCCGCGCTGCTGCCGCTGGTGCTATACCGCCTGGCGCTGCTGCTGCTCTAGATGCTGCTGCTGATTCTATACCCCCCGGCACTGCTGCTGCTCTAGATGCTGTTGCTGGTGCTATAGCTCCGACTGGTTCTGCTCGAGAAGCTGCTGCTGGTGCTATAGACGGTGAAGGTTTTGCTGCTGGCTTACTCTGTGACGCCTGTACTGTTGACACCAGCGGAGGAGCAACACCAATGCTTCCAGCACCACCGGCACCAGCAGTAGCACCACTTCCATTGCTAGCGCTGCTGATGCTAGCAGTTGTGGTGGCAGTGGCAGTGGTAGCGGCAGAGGATGTGGTGGTGGTGGAGCTTGAGGTGGAAAAGAGTGAGGAGGAGGAGGTGGAGGAGGAGGAGTAGGAGGGCCGACCAGAGCTCGCACCTGTACCTGTCTCTGAGCCTTCCATGCTGACCCTTCCAGGCTCTACTTGCTTGCCCGTGCTCCCGAACCCCTTGGCCCTGACTGTGTCAGTGTCAGCAGAACCACCCTTACCTGCTGCAGCACCAGCTCCCTGCCTTGAACGCATCTCTCCAGCAGCTGGTGCATGCACCTGAGGAGCACCCTGAAGCTCCAGCCTGGCAGGTGGAGAAGCAGATTGCTGATGTGGATGTGTGGATTGCTGAGCTGGCAAGGCTGCAATGGCCAAACCCCCATGCACCTGCTGTGACTGCTGATGTGTCTGCTGTGTCTGCTGCTTTGTGTGCTGTTGTGACTGCTGCTGTGTCTGCTGTGTCTGCTGCTTTGTGTGCTGTTGTGACTGCTGCTGTGTCTGCTGTGTCTGCTGCTTTGTGTGCTGTTGTGACTGCTGCTGTGTCTGCTGTGTCTGCTGCTTTGTGCGCTGTTGTGACTGCTGCTGTGCCTGCTGTGTCTGCTGCTTTGTGTGCTGTTGTGCCTGCTGCTGTGCCTGCTGTGGTGTAGAGGAGGGGCCAGGCAGTGGGAAGGGAGGCCACTGGAGAAGAACTGGATTGGGCTTTACAGGCAGTGAGCGCACGGAGCGAAGGGGGGCAGATGGGTGTGAGGCTTGGGCAGAGGGGTCAGCAGGCGCTGCTGCTGTTGTTGCTGTTGCTGCTGGTGGTGGGACGAACAGAGGTGGGTCTCTGGTTGCTGCTAGGCCAAACACTCCCAAACCTGATGTGGAGGCTCGGCCGTACGAAGCAGCCCTGGTGTGTGAGACGAACCTAACCGCCTTGGTCCGGCCAGCAGCAGCAGCAGCACCAGCAGCAGCAGCCTTACCAGTAACACCTGCACCAGCGGCAGCAGCAGCCGCAGAACCCTTTGCTGCTCTTGCCATGCCTGCTGCCCCACCTTCTCTCCCAGCTCCCACTCCCAAACCTCCCTCTCTCTTCCCCGCAGCCTCACCTCCCCCAGTCGCCACCTCCCCTCGCTGCAGAGCCGAAGCAGACTCCACAGCAGCCAGGTGCAGCAGCAGCAGCCCGGGGTCAGAGCGCCGGTGCTCCAGGCGCCTGGGGGGGAGCTGCCAAAGGGAGGCGAGGTGCGGCGGGGGGAAGCGGTAGAACTGCGACGACACTCGACTGCGCAGCTCTAACTCCTGCATCTGCTGCCGCTGCCACGCCTCCTCCTGCTGCTGCTGCTGCTGCTGCTGCTGCTGCTGCTGCAGGTGTTGAAGCTGCTGCAGCTGGTCTTGCTGCTCGTGCTGCTGCTGCGGGTCCTGCTTGCTCTGCCCGTGTTGCTCCTGCTGCTGTCGCCTCAGCTGCTGCAGCTTCTGCTGCTGCAGGAGCAGAATCTGCCGCTGCTTCTGCTGGGGGGTTGGCTGGAAAAGCACAGGGTCGGACACAATCACAGCAGCAGCAGGTGCCTGTTGCTCAGGCAGAGACCCCAGCAGCGGGTGGTAGTGCCCACCTGATAAACCACCTGGGAACCCGTGGCTTACACCTGAGAAACCACCTGGTGCTGCTGCTGCGGTCACAGCTGCTGCTGCAGTCAGTGCTTCTCTCTCTGCTGCAGTCATGCCTCTGTATGAGCGCGACCGGCCCAGCCAGGGGGAGTGCGGGAAGGCTCCCGGGAACATGGGAGGGAGGAGAGGGGCGAGCGAGGGGGGAGGAGAGGCGGTGAGGGGAGCGAGAGGGGGGGATTTGGGTGCTGCTGGGGTAGTAGAGGCAGTAGCACCAGAGGAAGAAGTGGTAGTAGGAGCAGAAGCAGTGGGAGCAGAAGAAGGAGCAGCAACAGCAGCAGCAGCAGCAGCAGCAGCAGCAGCAGCAGCAGCAGCAGCAGCAGCAGCAGCAGCAGCAGCAGCAGCAGAGGCATCAGGAACAGCGGAGAGGGACGGGGAGCGTCTGCGATTAGGAGGGGGCAAGGGAAGCGCAGGGTCCTTCTTGGAAGGGCTCCGCTGGAGCACTGGCGGGGCGAGTGAGACCGAGGGGCGTGCATGGGAGGAGGAATAAATCGGCAGAGAGAGCGCAGTTGCAGGAGTACTGCTACTAGTGGTAGTAGGCCCTGTGGCTGATGCACCACCAGTCATTGTGACATCGCCTCCCCTGGAGGTGCTGCTGGTGAGATTCTCTCCTTCCAATGTTGCCACTGCTGCAGCTGCTGCAGGCTCGTAGCTGCCTCCGGACCTGCTGCCCCTCATGCTTACCAGGCCTGGGGCTGAGGTTCGGAGGGCCGAAGCTACTGTCCCGGAGTCATCCCAAGCCGTGCCTGGCACTGCTCCCAAGCCTACCGCCGCCATGCCTGCCGGATTGGCAGGTACAGCATCAATGAGGCTGTAAGGTGGCAGGGCAACAGCAGCAGCTGCACCAGCAGCGGCAGCCGAAGTGTTGAGGAAAGCTCCAACCCCGACCGTCCCAGCAGCAGGAGAAGAAGCAGAAGCGACGGGGACAGTATCGAGATCAGCAGCATCGACATCCCCACTGCTCCCAGTGGCCACGCTGCCAGAGCTGGGTCGAGAGGACCGGAAACTCGTGGTCGACCTTTCATCCATGCTGACGTGGCTCGCATGCCCCCGCCGGGCAGGTAATGCTGCAACCAGCGGTCGGGCAGCCGGGGAAAAGTTTGCGCCCTCGGCCCGAACCGCCGTGGCAGGTCCGGGACCAAGAAAAGCCCAATCGTCAATCAGCTGCATGCCTTCAGTGGATGCTGCCGAGCCTGGTTGCGCAGGCTCGGGAGACGAGGCCTGGTCAGGAGACACGGCGCTAGGGCGGGCCCGGTTTGGGGGACCGAGCGAGTGAGAGGAATCAGAGGCGAGTTTGGAGAGGGGAGGGGAGAGGTGGCGGCGGGAGGAGGCAGGTGAGCCTGCAATCCCCCCTGAGAGGCTCACGTCCCGGGAAAATGCACGCGCTGCTGCTGACCGTGCCGCCACTGACTTGCCTCTAGCCACTGCTGCTGGGGAGGGAGGAAAATTCCCGTCGGTGGAAGAAGTGTTTGAGAGTGCGCGCGTGCATGTGCCCTCTGCTTCTCCCATCTCCTCTGCTCTTGGTAATGCTGTTGCAGCAACTTCTGTTGTTGTGGCTGCTGCTGCACCTGATGCTGCAGCGGTTGCTACTTCTGCACTTTCTCTTGCCTCAGCTGCCCCTGCTCCGGCACTCGCTGCTGCACCCACTGTTTCTCCCCCTTCTGCTCCTTCTCCTGACTTCACTGCAGAAACAACACCACTACCCGGCACTAGTACACTCCCCTCAACAACCCTTATCCCCGGCACACTCCCCCCCCAGCTGCCTCCCCCACTGCCTCCCCCACTTCCTCCCCCACTTCCTCCCCCAGTGCCTCCCCCAATGCCTTTCCCACTGCCTCCCCCACTTTCCCCTCCGCTCCCCCCCCACCCGCCACTCCCTGCAACCCCTTGCGCTCTGGCCACCCCCCACCCTCTTGGCGTGCGAGGGGAGAAGGGAGCAGCAGCAAAAGCAGCGGCAGCGCGGGGAGACGGATCCTCTAGGTCCCTCCAGATGCGGCGGCCGCGGGGAGAGGGCGTGGAGAGAGGCGCAACAGCAAAGCCAGCACGGGGAGCAGCACCATGTGCACCTGTGAAGCCAGAAAGGGGGGCTGCGGCATGTGGCCTTGCTCCCTCTCTGCTCCCTGTGGGCGATGGCAGCTTATTGGAGAGCCACAGCCTTGGTGAAAACAGGTTCGCGGAAGGCAGGCTCGGGGATGAGGGATCCGCAGGGATGGTTTGCAGGTAAGGCGCCGTTTTCCCGGAGTGCAGCACCGGGCCTGAGAAGTATGCTGAGCGTGCAGTTCGAGGGGGGCGGCCTTCAGAGGTGGACGTTGGGAAGGGGCGAGGGCTCGGGATGGCGAGGGTGGAAGGGAGTGTGATGGAGGGAGGGATGATGAACATCCCCCCCTTCCCTCCTGCACTTCCTTGCCCGCTCTCCCCTCCACTCCTCGCACCATCATCACTCTCCCCCTCCTCTCCTTGCACCCTCCCCACCGCCCTGGCACTGGCAGCGGGAAGAGAGGCTGCTGAGAGCAAGGGCGCAGGGGGCTGTATGCTGAGGAGTGAGCGAGGGGTGCGCGGGGGTGGAGTGTGGTTTGAAGAGTGGATTGCTGGAGACGACGCAGCAGAGGGAGCAGCAGCAGGGACGGGAGAAGAAGAAGCAATCACTCCAGCAGCAGCAGGAGCAGAAGCAGCAGCAAAAGGGGGGGCGGATTGGGTAGAATCAGCGGAGAGGGAGAGAGGAAGAGGCATGGTGGCAGGGCTGGCACTGGGGTAGTGCGCACTCGGGTAGTGAGCACTCGGGTAGTGAGAGGGAGGCAAGGCAGGGACGAGAGGGGGGCTTTCAGGGGAGGAGTCTAGAGGGGACTGAGGAGCGGTGGCAAATTCCGTAGTGTATCCCGATCGAGCTGATGCATAGACGGAGCGAGCAGGCGTGTGTTCTGCTGAGGCTCCTGCTTGTAACGAAACATACTCGTTATAAGCCCCGTGATCCGACATGCTCATAGAAGAGTCAAACCGAGCGATTTCAGCCCCGTATCCAGCGAGAGGAAACCCCGGAGAAAGGTCAGAAGAGAGAGCATAGAGAGAGGAGGAGGCGGCGAGAGAAGGAGGAGCTGTCGGGTCGAAGGCCTGGGGAGGGTGTGCGAGAGTGGTGGTGGTGCCGGGGGGGGCGGTGTCGAGGCAGGCTGTGAAGAAGAATGTGGAACCCTTGCCTAGATCGCTCTCCACCCACACCTCTCCCCCCATCATGTGCACCAGACTGTGTGGGGGGAAAAAGAACAAGGGGCCGGGGAAACAGTGAGGCAGCGAGAGGCAGAGAGGGGTGGAGAGACATGATGAAAGTCAGGCACAAATCAGAGCGAAGCCATGCTTGTTGGAGTTGCTCTCCTCCACTCACCTCTGCACTATGCTGAGCCCAAGTCCAATCCCGCCGTAATCTCGCGTGTACGACGTGTCCGCCTGCACAAAGTTGTGAAAGATCTCCCCCTGCTTCTCCGCACTGATGCCAATCCCCGTGTCTTTCACCGACACCAGAATCCACACCTCCTTCTCCTCCTCCTCCTCCCCCTCCTCCTCCTCGTCCTCTTGCTCCTTCTCCCTGTCTCCCCTTCTCTCCACCCGCCTCACAGATGATTCCCCCGACCAGCCGCTATCCATTCGCCGGCTGAAATTTCCCCACATACCAGACCCCATGCTCGATCCCACCAGCTCGCCCTCCACAACGCTGCCCCTCCTCCTGCTCCTCCCCAATCCCCCTCTGCTGATTGGCCGTGCCGCCGCATCCCCCCCCATCCGCCCACTCCTGCCCACCCTCGCACCTGCGCTCCCACTGGCGCTTACATAAGTGTGGTCTGGGCGGATCCTTAGAGCCGGGTCAGAGGCAGGGATTAGCAAGGAAGGGTCCGAGGCAGGGACATACATAGCAGGTTCGGAAGCAGCAATAAGAGAGTCAGGGGCGAAGGCACGGGAGCGGGTGCTGCTGCTGCGGCTGAAGACAGAAGAAGCATTGCTGGGTTGGCTCCTTAACGATCCCATACTAAAAATGTTCGCTGTGGGCTTGTCCGGGACCCCACCTGAAACAGCCCGGGGGAAGGCTGCAACTGGTCCAGGCGCTGCCTGGGATCCCCCTGCTGCTGCAGTACCAATCGAAAATGCCATCCGTTCCCCCCCTCGGCCTCCCGAGCTTGCATCATCAGGAACCCTTGAGGAGAGTGGGGGGCTTCTGACCTTCTTCCCTGCTGCTGCCTTGCTGCCTGCCTCTGCGCCCTCCCTCCTCACAAACGTACTGCCAAGGTCTGACCACTGCAGCTCTGAGCTTGACTTGAACGCTCCTGACCCTCCGCTCCCTTTTCTCCCCAGATTCCCCGTGCCCTTGTCCTCTCCTCGTCCCTCCCCTGCTCCTTCCCGGTCCCCTGGCCTCACACACGCACCACTGGCAGCTCCCCTGGCCATTTCCTCAGGTGAAACCCCAGATGCAGCCTCAGGTGAATCTTCAGGTGCTGCTGCAGCAGAGGACCCACCTGCAGCGCGTCTCTCTGTCTCACTGTCCCCGCCAGCAGCATCAGCAAACCACACGGCAAGGTTGGCTCTCGAGCCTTTTCTTGACACACTTCTAGACCCGGATCGAGATTCACAGCGCGAGACCCCTCTAGACTTTTCCCCTGACCCACCAGACCCACCACCAGCACCAGCAGACCCACCAGCAGCTGCAGCAGATGCAGAACCACCACCACTTCCCCCCTTGAGTGCAGAGCTCAGCACCCCAGACCCTCCTTTCCGTGCAGACCCCAGCACCCCAGACCCTCCAGGTGAGCCTTCAGTGGCAGATCGCTGCATACCCCTCGCTCTCATGGCACTCCCCAGCGCCTCCTCCCCTCCCGAGCTCGAATCCCCCCGCTCCTGGTAGTTTGGGCCCAACAGGGGCCGCTCTGCTGCGCGCTGGGCAGAGTGGGAGGGGAGGGAGGGGTAAGAGGAGGAGACGAGCCCTGCTGCTGCTATCCGCCCGATGGTGCGCAGGCAGCTGCTGCTGCTGCTGATGACCGCTCGAGGTGTAATGTCATCGTCGTCATCATCAGCATGAGTATGGATAACGCTGTTGTTGTTTTCATCCGAGCTGCTGCTGCTGCCGCCGCTGCTGCTGCTGCTGCTTCCACTGCTTTCCCCGCCCCCCCTGCTCCCTCTGCTCCGTCTTCTCTCTCTGCTCCTGCGCCTGCGGTGGCCAGTGGGAAGAGAGGAACCCACTGGCTCTGCCTGTTGGCTGGCAGAAAGCAGCTGGGCTCGAAAGGCGTCCAGAGTTTGCCTGGCCCTCGCTGCAGCATCCCTGTCACTCGTGTCTGAATCACCAGTGTCAGACCAACCCCCCTGCGACACCCCCACCCCATCGATCCTCTGCTCGTGTGCGCCTGGTCGCCTCCTCCCGCTCCTCCCACCCGGACCAAACAGCTTGGCTTGGTCACTCTCGGACCTAACCAGGCTTCCACGAGCAGCCTTGGCTGCAGGTGGAGCAGAAGAGTCTGAATACCAAGCAGCATCATTTTTACTATTATGAAATCCACTCGCACTCCCCCCTCCATCCTTCCTACTCCCAACCACACTGCCCTCCTCTCTCCCCAATCCCCCACCTGCCCCCTCTGGCCCTGAACACACTTCTCTTACCTCTTCCCCTCCTCCTCCCCAATCCCCTCTCTCTCTCCCTGAGCTCCTCCCTGCATGACCGTTCGCCTGCCGGTGCCTGTGCCTGTGCCTCCCCGCCTTGCCTACTCGCTCCTTCCCATCACTCCCTGCCTCTTGCACTCTCTCTCTGCCAGTCCTCGCCTCCGCACCAACCTGCGGATGGAGGTTGCTCCCTGCCCCTGCATTCCCTTGCTCTAGCATTCGCTGCCGGAGAGCACGAGAAACCTCCGTGGGAACAAACACGTTGGTGTTAATGCTAGGGTTAGCATTGGAGTAGGTGTTTCTGTTGGTGTTAGCCCTAGGGTCAGTGTGGGTAGCGTTTGTGTTGGGCTGGTTGTTATTGCCGCGGTTAGCAGCTATGGAATGGGGGAGGGGGTCTGAGAGACGAGCAGATAAGGATCCCTCCGGCCCTTCCCGGGAGGGGGGAGGGGTGAGCGGAGGGGAGTGCGGAGGGGAGGAGGAATGAGGGCACGTGGCAGCTCGAGGGACGTACAGAGGTGAGTATTGCAATTGCTGCTGCTCGTCTGGATGATGGGGTTCCTGATTCTCTTGCTCTTGCTGCTTCTCATGCTCCTGCTCTTGCTCTTGCTGCCGCTGGTGCTGCTGATGCTGGTGTTGTTGTCGATCATGGTGCTGCTGCTGCTGTCGATGGGTGTGATGGTGGCTACCGCTGTTGCTGCTGCGTGCCTTGTGGTGGTGCATGCTGCTGCTGTTGCTGCTGCGCGTCTGCTGCTGACTACTGCCCGCGCTTCTACCGTGGTGCCGCGTACGAGAGGGAGGGCGGAAGAGCAGAGTAATATCAAGGTCCACTGACCCTTGGTTAGTGAACTTTATCGCGTTGCCCACTGCCATGGTATGCCATGCCATGCCATTCCATGTCATGCCATGTCATGCCATGTCAGTCCACGCATGCCATGCCATGCCATGCCGTGGCATTCCATTCCATGTCATGCCCCCGACGGACGACACCAGGACATGGGGGTGATAGGAGAAAAGTGGTAGATGGTGAATAGCGCTGCTGCACGTGCTGCCCCAAACAAAGCAGTAACACACAAAAAAAAAAAAACTGGAAACCATGATAACACAAAAGAAAAAAAAATAAACAAGAACGGTATGAGAATGGTTCAAACCACCCTTCGGGCTCACCCAGGTTGATGATGCACTGCTGCAGCCTGCCTGGGTCCCCCACCAATGTGTGCGGCACCCCCTCCGCCACCTGCCAAGAGAACAGCAGCTGCTTCTGCTCCGCGCGCACCTGAGGGTAGGAAGGGAGAAGGGCAAAGGCAAAGGCAGTCGCATTGGAACTGTAATCTGCGGACTGCGTCAGCGTTGGTTACTCTCAGTCCCCTAAACAGCAGACTCACCTGCAGCATGCGCATGGTGGACCCCACCACATCTCTCAGCGCAAACGGCACTTTATCCAGGGCCAGTTGCCCCGCCTCTATCCTCGCCAGGTCCAAGACAGTGTTGGCGATGTTCAGCAAACAGTCCGCAGACTGCGCCACCACCGTCAGATGCTCGTGCAGCTCCACCGTCAGATCGTTCCGCAGCGCCAGCGCGTCAGCGGAAGGGTGAGTGGCCAGGTCGTGGGGGTCGTGGGGATCGTGGAGTGACTCTAGGGCGTCTAGAGCCAGTGCTGTCATGCCGATGATGCCGTGGATGGGCGTGCTGGTGTGGCAGGTGACGGGGGCGTGGAGGGCAGGGCAGAATGGGGAAGAGAGGGGGAAGAGTTTGAAGCCGGAGTGTTGAGAATGGAAGGGAGGGAGGGAGGTGGAGTATATGAGACCGCTGCGGGGCAGAATTGCCATGCTGATGATGCTGCTCTGGAGCCGCGTGGATGGGAGTGCTAATGGAGCAGCAAGAGGTGCCATGCGTTGAGGCTATCCTCAGTGAGCTGTGGGAAGGTTGGTGGTGTGGGTGCGATGGCAAACTGTGGATTTTGGCAGGCGCTCTGCTTGCACATACCGGATCTCATGGCTCATGTTGGCCAGGAACTCTGTCTTGGCCCGCCCTGCCTCCTCCAACTCCTCCTTGGACCGCTTCAGATCCTGCACACACGCTCACACACGCACAGGGAGGGAGAGATGAAGGAGCGGGGAGACGAAGGAGGGACTGTGAAGCAGAGAGTGTTAACAAGCAAGCCAGGGTGAATGCTCATTGCTCGTGCCACTTGGCTCCAGCACATTCCCTGTCTCCTTTTCCCCACCTCATTGACTGCCTGCATCTGCGCGGTGCGTCAGGCCACCCCACCCCCCAGCGACAGAACCAGCTGCCTTAACTGCTCACGCCCAGCTTCAGAGCTGCTCGCCTCACCACCTCCTCCTTCCCCCCCTCCCACCCCATTCTCACCTCATTGACTGCCTGCATCTGCTCGGTCCGTCTCGCCACCTCCCCTTCTAGAGAAAGGTTGAGCTGCCTCAGCCCCTCTCGCAGGCGCCTGGTGTCTCTCACAGCAGCCGCCAGCAGCACAGCGCCCAAGCTCAGCACCAGCACCAGCACCTGCACCTGCAGCACCGTCCCACTCGCCGAATCCCTCACCAGCGGCCCGCGCCCCTGCGCCGTGCAGAAGCACACAATGAGGACGACTATAACGAGTACGAGCCCGGAGCCCTTGCGGTGGAAGCGAATGCACGCCCAGAGGACCCCCGGGAAGAGAAGATACGGGAGGGCGGCAGTGGCAGTAGTAGCAGCAGGGACAGCAGTGGTGGTGGAAGAGGAGGTAGTGGGGGCTGCAGGGGTGGAGAAGATGAGACAAGCCGTGGCAGCGTTGAGCAGAAGCAGGAAGACGAACTCCCAGAAGCGCAAGGAGGCAAGGATGTCTCGGATGCTGACCACCAGGGGGCTTTTCATGAGTTTTTTCAGGTGGTAATGGACTGGGCGGCGGAGGGATAAATAGTTGGGGTTGGAGTGGGGGGGGTGGGAGGGGAGGTGGGAAGGGAAGGGCAGGGTGCGGAAGGAAGGGGGCGTGTGTAGCCTGTTGCTGCTGCTTACCGTGTCTCCCACAGACTCCATATCTACCTCGCTTCCCGCACCTACACCTGTCACCACGCTTACGGGCCGTCGCCCGTGCTGCTCGCCCAGGGGCGGCTGGAGACCCGTGGAAGAAGCAAAGACTGAATTTGCTTCGGACCGAGGCGATTCAACAGCGCCCAGCCCCTCCTCCTCTTCCTGCCCCTCCTCCCGCTCCTGTCCCTGCTTCCCCTCCTGCCTCTCTTTCCCCTCTTTCCCCTCCTGGCTGGGCTGCCGGGCGCAGCAGCACAGGCAGGAGGCAGTGATCTGCAGGAGCAGCGGCACTGTCAGCATGATCCCCGTGAACGTCCCTAGCGTTCTTAGCCCTGCTGCCACTGCCACGCTGTCACCTGCCAGGTCAGCATCCCATGCGCTGACTACGACCGCGACGACCCCTTCGAACAGCAGAGAGACGAGGAAGGAGAAGAGCGCGAAGAGGAAAATGTCTTTGACTCGGTCCAGAGGGGTGAGGTCGTGGGGGCGTAGGCGGTGCAGCACGCGCGTGAGGAAGAAGGAGAGGCAGAGCACGGAGCCTGTGACGAAGGCTGCGATGGTGAGGGATGCGAGGGCGATCTGCAGGGTGGAGAGGTGTTCAGCGAGGTGCCATGCGGCTCCGGTGTACACGAGGAGTGCACCGCCTAGGAATATACCCGGCCATGTGCCCATGCCGAACACCTGATTGGGGGGGACGGGGGGGGTAAGGGAGTAACAGGATTGGCTCGTGGAGGAAAAAGAAACGGGAGTCTGAAAACCAGGAGCATAAAAGGATTGGAATTTAAGAAGTAGGGTTGCAGAAAGGAATAGGGTTGCAAGCACAAGGTGCAACCATTGGATTGAAGGAATAGGGATAGCGGCGCTCACGAGCACAGCGTAGAGCGCGAGGCCAGAGGTGGGCCAGACGGGGCAGGGCACGAGCAGCGCGTCTCCGATCTTGCCGAGCCACGCCATGCCCAGCGACGCGCCGTACAGCACCACCGCCACCAGCAGCAGCAGCAGCGCGCGCCAGTACCACCACAGCCGCCGCGCGTCCACACAGAAGGGCCAGAGCGGCCGATCGGCCCCGTGCACGAAGCACGCTATGATGGCCGCGGAGGAGCATGTGGAGGGTGGGTCTGAGGTGCACGAGGGGCCTGTGGTGTCTGAGTCGGAATGACTTAGCTCGACGTCGTCCTCCCCTGAACTGCTCCCTTCGTCATCACTTGACGAACGCTCTTCGTTATCGCCTCGTTCTCTACTCGCCCCGACAATCTCCTCTTCGGCCTCCTGTCTCCTCTCGCGACCCGTTTCTCTGTCCCCCTCAGTAACCTCCTCCCTCCCCCGTGGATCATCTGAGCCTGCCCTCGCTGCTGCTGAAAGCGCGTCAATCCCAAGGCCGCCTGAATCGCCGACGCCTGATACTGCGCCTGAACCATCCCCCGCGGGTTCTTCCCCGCTTGCACCCTGCGCCTCGCGCGGCTCCCCCTGCTCCAGGTCCCAGTCTTCCGCGCGGAACGAGGCCAGCACGGGGAGGCCGGTCAGTGCGACTTGGCTTGCCCGCGCAAGGTCCGCCTGCGGCGATTGGTCGATACTGATGACGGCCGCTTCGGTGACGCCACGTGGCAAGAGCCGTTCGTCCGGATCAGTAGGCTTGGTTGGTGGGTGCAGCAGAAGCTGAGGCGAGTCCATGCTGTTGGCTTTTGTAACGTCACCAAACAGCGGTTGCTGCTACTAGTCGAGTACTAGCAGCTCTCAGCAGGCGTGCTGATGCCGATACAGAGGCATAATAGAACAACCGTGCTGTCGTAAGGCATGGCGGCACGTAAAAAAAAAGGCTGCTTTCTCAATCAAACAGTTGGGTTACTTTCTAATAGCACACGCCGAAATGGTGACGCGAAGAACAAAACTATCCCTACGTCGTACCTCTTATGTCAATAAGACTGTCAGCTAACTCCCTCGGACCTCACGGCTCGAAGTGTAAGAATCGAGCCACGCCAGCCAACGCCCAACGACTTGTTTCAAGGATTGATCAGTAAATGGAACCTTGCGTTGAGACTTTCCGCGAATGTTTTCGGCATGTCGAGGCTATCAGAATCACTAGAGACACACACCCAACAAGAACAGTACACGTATCGTACGGAGTGGTGGTGTTTTGTCGAGCGACAGGAAAAAGTGACCTGCCCAGATGGTGCTGGTCTTGGGGGTTGGGGTTGGGTTGGGTAGGCGGGCACAGGGAACTGTTTCGGCCACAGGATGATGGTCACTGGTTAGTGATCGCGGTGTAAGGAGCCCTCAATGGAACTGTACAGCTACAGGTTTGTGAAGGAGAACTAGTCACTACCTGTAAGAACAACATAGAATCCATTAGACTATCGTATTCACGTTATTTTATGCAAATATGGTCCCGCAGGAACTGCTAGAAGCCAAGCTTGTATTCCATTATCTCATGCAAGTCCACCCGGGGAATTTCCACCTTATCTCCATATCCTGCAGAGGGAAACAGCATTAGGAACATAAACAGAGGTAAAAATATCACAAAGATGTGATGGCTTACAATGGCTAGAGATTGTAGCAGTTTGAGGGAATGCACTACGGGCCACTTACCAACCACATCTTCCACTGCAAGCTCATCAAGAGTACCCATCATTGCATGCAGCCCCAGGTGGGATGATGGCAGACCGGGCAACCTCTTGAATCTGAAAACGCATAAGTGGAAAACACATGAATCAGTGCAGAATTCGCCATCACCATGCCGCCAGCGAAGAGACACCAGTAGCAGCAGCCTCAGTGATTCATGTCCAGGACGGAATATCTGGACATTGATCAGCCTTACTTGGAAAGTATTTGCCGCTCCATGTGTAGCTGAGCAGGGAAAGCGGAACCGTAGACCCTACCCAAGTTCATGTCAACAGTTCCCTCCTGCTCCTTCCTTCTCTGAAAACAAAAATTCAGAGACAATAAGACCGAAAATTGTCAGGGGGCTATCAATACCTATTCATTCATTGCGCAAGGATCACCTCTCAGCTTATAGGTGTTATGGCCAGAGATTCGTGAAAAGGGTTGTCGAACTAGCAAGCCATAAGGTGACGACTGCTACAGAACAATATCTCTTGTACGCAGATGATTCGTATACTTGAAATCTGGTGCGCAAAGGTTTAGGGGTAGCCATATGTGGGTGAACGAACACAGGGGAGGCGGACAGCGTGAGCGAAGGTCATACCTGGATACCGGTGCGAAGACGTACTCGCCATAAGGCACAGGGAAAAAAGCCATCACGCACCTGTCTCTGAATTCCGTCAACTGGATGAGCAAAAGTCACTTCGTCGCGAAGCTGATGGAGACCAGATCGCAGAACATCGCGGGGAGCCTCAAGATGCGGGAGGGACATGCTTGGTTCCTGATCGAAATACGCGACAAAGTATTCACAAAACCGCACGTCAGTTGGCACGAAAGCTAACGACCCAATGGAACGAGTGCGAAACGGGGACTAGCTACTGCACAAAAGCTCCTACCATTGCTCGTCGTGGTTCCTACAAAGCTTTCTGAAGCCAACAAATTTACAGCAACAATCGAGCCTAGAAGCAGCAGATATCGAGAATCGTCCCCGCTAACAGGTACCTTGCTGGTTGATCAAATACGTACCCTATGTTTCTGTAGTGCATACTGACTGGTTCAGGAACATGTGAAACAAACACACCTTCAAATGGCATCTTCTTTTTGAATGATGGTAAACTGAATGAGCTTCTGGTTTGCTTGTTTGCATATTTACGATCTAGTGTTCGCTTGGAACCGGAATTCTTTCTTATTTCATACAAATTCGACACAAGTGCTACTACAATACAATATATAGAAATACATATATATTAAGCCTAAATGATATTACAATAAATATATATGTTCTATTTATAAACTACACCAGTTTAGCCTTTGCACCAATTCAGAGCAACAAATAACTCAAAAACTGGATCCCTTGCCTTCAAGTTGCTCAAAGCACAAGCTGGTGGAAACACGGATTGCATGTCAACCTTTAGTGGGACGCAAGGGCTTCATTTCGCCTTGAGTGCAATTCCATGTACGCCCCTTTTCGCTCCATCAGTTGCTCGTGTGTGCCAACCTGAGAGCATGAACCAGAGAGAATGAATATGCCAACGAGCAAAGCGGGTCGGCTGGACAAATGTTCCGGACTTCCCAGTCGGCCGGACAAATGCACTGAACAGATGAAGAAGTGCTTTACTCACCTCGATGATCTTCCCATGAGACACGACCACTATTCTATCCGCAGAACGGATGGTGGATAGCCTGATAATGGGCAACAGGCAGCATAGATGTCAGGGACGAAAGTGGGGAGAGAGAGAAAGAGCAGCGAACTTTAAGAACAAGTGGGTAGCATGTGTTGAGAAGCGTGGCACTATGACAAGCATGCACTGGCTGAGAAGTAATCGATGGAGAGTCTGCCTGGCTGGCCACAGCGTACCGGTGTGCAATGACCACTCTGGTTCGCCTTCTGCCCCCACTTGCATGGGAGTCGTCATGAATAACTTGGTTCAATGCCATCTGCATGAGCACATGTGAGAGTCAACAAGAAACAGATGCATTTCAACAGACTGAGAGAGCAGCAGCAAGGGTTCATGGAAGCAGCAGCAGCCTTCATTCTGCGAGAATCATTCTCCGATTAAACGATCATTTTCAAATCCAGTGCTCATGCACTCTCCCACCACCCCCTTACCACACATACTGCCCGTTCTCCCACCTATCCTCCCTCCACTCCCTCACTCCCCATCACCCTCACCTGCACGTAGTGCTCGCTCTCAGCATCCAGAGCACTCGTGGCCTCATCCAGGAACAGCAGGGTGGGGTCGCGCACTAAAGCCCGGGCAATCGCTATTCTTTGCTTCTGCCCGCCGCTCAACCGGGCGTTGTCCACCACTGTGTCATAGCCCTCGGGCAGCTCAGAAATAAATCGATGCGCGTTGGCCTGGGTCGCTGCCCGGATAATGTCCTCTCGAGAAAGTTCCTTGCTGCTTCCGTATGCAATGTTGGATGCCACATCTCTGCTGAATAGCAGGGGCTCCTGAGGAAGAGTATGCGGAACGGGGAGGAGCGCTCGAGAGTTGGTACTACTCATGTGTGGATGGTCCACGTGCACATGTGTGGCTGGAGGCTAATCCATCATAAGCCTGAATCATTTTCCATACATACATGAATTGTGTGGTGAGAGTGGTGAGTGTGTGGTGAGAGTGGTGAGTCTGTGGTGAGAGTAGTGAGTGTGTGGGTTTGGATGGATCAGGATAGGTCTGGATGGATGGGGATGATTAAGGATGGGTGGGGATGGAGCAGGCAGGGAGGCGAGCTCACCTGGCTGACGACGCCAATGTGGCTTCTCAGCCAAGCGATGTCAACCTCTGGTAGAGGCACGTCGTCTATAAGCACCTGTGAACAGACAGACGGAGGAGTTACAGACAGTATGAATCATGCACACCAGTATCAACCATCAATATACCTCAAACTACAGCCACCCGCATGTGACTCACCTCCCTCCATCTCACCCGCCCATCTCACCTGCCCCTCTGAGGGCTCATAAAGTCGCTGCAGCAGCCTGAGGAGGGTGCTCTTGCCGCTGCCGTTGTGCCCCACCAGCGCCACCAGCTCGCCTGGTTGGATGGTCAGGTTTATACCCTCCAGCACCAGTGCCTGCAGGGAATGGGAAAGAGGGGAGAGGGGAAAGGGGAGTGAGGTGAGTCCGCTTTCTCTTGCTGCCATTGTGCCCCACCAGCGCCACCTCGCCTGGTTGGATGGTCAGGTTTATACCCTCCAACACCAGTGCCTGCAGGTGGCGTGGGGGAGGGAGGGAGGGAGGAAGATAGGTGGCGGGCGCACCTCAGGGCAGACTCGATGTTCGAAGCCCGATAGAGAGCAGTTGGTACAAACACGTAGAGCGACTCGTATTCTCATGTGGAGCAGTTACCTCACCATGGTGCTTTAAGCAAGGCGGGTGGGCGCACCTCAGGGCGGGTGGGGTAGCGAAAGGAGAGATCGCGGAACTCCAGCTTGCCGCTCAGCGATGGCAGCACTCGGCCTGGAGGGAGACAGGGGGGCAGCAGAGGAGAAATGGGAGCATGTGAGGGATGGCAGCATGCAGCACAAGTGATTCACACACGAGTGAGGCCTCACAATCGCCTTTAGCCATGACTCAGTGGCTCCGTGGCACGCACCATGGTGCTCCATGCGCCCTCCCACGCACCATGACCCTGTGACAGCTGCTCCGGGTGCGGCAGGTCCAGCAGCTGGAATACCCGGTGGCAGGCACCGATGGAGTCCATGAGGGTGGCGCAGTGCTCGCCAGCCCAAACAATGCTGCACACTCCTCTGTCTGTGCGCCCTTACACTCACCGTGGCCCTGAGTGAGCTGCTCCGGATGGGGCAAGTCCAGCAGTTGAAACACGCGGTGGCAGGCGCCGATCGAGTCCATGAGGGTGGCCCAGTGCTCGCCCGCGCACCACATGTTGTATGCCATCCAGTCCGCATACATCACAAACTGCGTCACCTGCTCCGCTGTTATGCGCCCTGTCATCAGTGCACCCCCGGCCATTATGACCACTGCCACCTGCGGGGTGGGGAGAGGGATGGAAGTTTCTGAGTCGACTCAAAAGTCACTACCAGCCATGGTGCGACTAGTGCCCCATGCACTGCCATGTGGAATGCATCATCATGTGGCATGGGGCATGCACCACCATGGGCCAGGCACCACCATGGGCCAGGCACCACCACCACACCAGCATGCACCTGCACCAGCATGCACCTGCACCACCATGTACCATGGAGGCGTTATAGACAATGTTGTCAGCGCACGTCCACAGCCCGTTGGCCACGCTCCGCCGCAGCCCCACCTCCACTAGCCTCTTGAGAGGCTCGTCGTACCTGGTAATGCACGGCAAGGCAAGGCAAGGTATGGCACAAGTGAATATAGCGGGTAGCGGGAATCGAACCCGCACCAACGCATTAGAGTCTGAAAAGGTGAATGGAAAGCAGGGCATATCATAGCACACGCAGCTCCAGCGGCCACTGAACGGAGTGGATTGGAATAAAATGCAGGAGATGAGGGACCTACGTACAGTAAACAGGACAGCCTCACTCGCCACCTGACAGCCTCACTTGCCACCTGACAGCCCCACTTGCCACCTGACAGCCTCACTTGCCACCTGACAGCCTCCTCCCTCCCCTTCACCTCTTCACCTCCTGACAGCCTCCTCCCTCCACCTCACCTCTTCACCTCCTCCCCCTCCACCTCACCTCTTCACCTCCTCCCCCTCCACCTCACCTCTTCACCTCCTCGCTCTCCGTGCCAAACGTCCGCACCACTCGAACGAGAGACACGGTCTCCTCTGCTACCTGGGATGTGGGGTCATTGGTGGTGCGGACGGGTGTGGATGGGTTTGGATGGGTGTGGATGAAGGGGGACAGGTGTGAATTCGTTTGGATGGGTAACGATGGGTGTGATTTGATATCAATGGGTGTGGTTACACCGTTACCATGAGGAACACAAGGAAGAAAAAATCATTGGCGGTATGAGCGCGGGGCTCACAGATCAAATACGAAGCTTGGTTCACCCTGACAATGAGTCACCCAGAAAAAGAGCCACCCAGATATTTGAGTCACGCAAAATTTGGGTCACTGGGAGGTGGGCTCACCTCATTGGCTGCTGTCGCATTGTCCTGTGGCACCTCATATTATATTATACGGGGTCACTAGGAGGAGGTGGGCGCACCTCATTGGCTGCTGCCTCATTGTCCTGTAACACCATGGAGCTCAGTCGGGAGAAGCTGGATCGTGAGACAGGCGGAGAGCAGGGGAGACGGGAAGCAGGGAAGCACGCACGGAAGGCAAGGACTATCGGACCACCATGGCGCTTCGGCTGGATGGTTCGGAGAGAAGGAAAACAGCGCGTTGGGTGAGAGGCATGGAGGAGGGGTGGAGGAGGGGGGCAGCATAGACGACGAGCGAAAGAGAGGAAGTACCACAAGAGGGCACACAGGGCAGCATGGAGGAGTATGGAATGGAAGCAAAAGAGGTGACTTTTGATTCGACTCAAAAGTCACGACTTTTGAGTCGACTCGAAAGAGAGGGGGTACCACAAAAGGACACACAGGGCAGCATGGAGGAGTATGGAAGCAAAAGAATTTCAAAGAATAGAGAGCAGAATGAGATATAGAAGCGAAGGAGACGTTTGGCCGCAGGAGGACAGCACGTGTATGTACTGTGAGACGTACTTGCCATAGACGACGAGCAAATACCACATGACGCCACAGAGAGCAGCAGTCATCAGAGCCATCTGCCAGCTCAGCCGAACGAGGAACACAAACGTTCCTATGCCCTGCCCACACATCCATGTGGCGGATAAGGTTGGGGAATGGTGGATCGGGAATGTCCAATGGGGGATTGGGCGATTGAAAGAATGGAAGGGGTATGAGGGCATACAACATGATGAGGAACATGCTCCTAATTTTTGATCGGCCAAGCTGGGTGAGGGTTTGTGCAAAGGGCATAGCATGAAGGAACATGGGGGCATGCGGTGGCATCGAAGCAACAGGCATATTAGAGGGTGGGTTTGCGATGGGGCGTGAGAGGGTGCGAGGCTATATTGGAAAATGCGCATGTGACATATTACATCACATATCACTAGCAGCCTGCACTCACATGCCAACCACTAACCACATACAATCAGACCCACGCACTAACAGCTTGCAATTTCAGCTAAGCCGTCCCTCCCATTCACCACCCCCTCCCTCCCTTCCTTCCACCACCCACCAGCAGCGAGTGGCGCAGCACGATGTTGAGATCGCTGCCCATCGTGTACCCCGCTGCCTGGCAGTCGGAGCCGAGGCGGGACGTGAGGTCGCCCACCGACTGGCCGTCAAAGAAGGCTATGTCCTGCCGGATGAGCGTCTCGTATAGCGCCAGCCGCATTCGCCGCATCTGGACAGGACACCGGGGGAAGCAGGGGAGGGGGGTGTGCAGAGTAATGGAAGGAGATATCCTGCCGGATGAGCGTTTCGTACAGAGCCAGCCTCATTCGCCGCACCTGGACAGAAGCGGCGAAGCAGAAAATGGAAAACAGGAAGAAAGGAGGCGAAGCAGATTGAGTGGGGAGTAATTTCGAGGATGTGGCCATGTGAGAGAGAGAGAGAACGAGAGCGAGAGTATGAGAATTGCCCGTGTAAGAGTGTGTAACACGGGGGAGCTGTTGAAAAGGCATGTGAAGGTGCGTGGAGTCACCATTTGAACGTTGAAGATGGTGAAAAGGGCGGCCCTCAGACCACTGCGTATCACGGCAAGACACGCACATGAGAAAGCAGGTAATGTCAGGGCATGGTTAGAACACGCACGCACGCACTCACGCACCAAAACATGGCAAACAATGACCTGAACACCGCATGCACCTGCGCATCACACACACCTGAAGACAGCAATCACCCGAGCACAGCAATCACCTGAGCACAGCAATCACCCGAGCACAGCAATCACCTGAGCACAGCAATCACCCGAGCACAGCAATCACCTGAGCACAGCAATCACCTGAGCACAGCAATCACCCGAGCATAGCAATCACCTGAGCACAGCAATCACCTGAGCACAGCAATCACCTGAGCACAGCAATCACCCGAGCACAGCAATCACCCGAGCACAGCAATCACCTGAGCACAGCAATCACCTGAGCACAGCAATCACCTGAGCACAGCAATCACCTGAGCACAGCAATCACCTGAGCACAGCAATCACCTGAGCACAGCAATCACCTGAGCACAGCAATCACCCGAGCACAGCAATCACCTGAGCATCACACACACCTAAAGAGCCCGCAGGCGAGAGTCATGGCGATGAGGAGGCGCACGCCGCAGCTGAACTGGTGCCGCATCAGAGCACGACCGCACACCTGACACGGCACCCATGACTGCTTGTGACACGCAAGTGACATGGGCCGCACCTGAAGAGCCCGCAGGCGAGCGTCATGGCGATGAGGAGGCGCACGTTGCTGTTGAACTCGTCCGTGAGCCCGTTGGACGCGGCGAATATGGCCGCCGCTAGGTAGTGCGGCATGGCCACCTCTGATAGCTGGTGGCGGGCAGAGAGAAAGGCGGGGGAAGAGGGGGGTGCGGGGGTGAGAAAGGGGAGAAGTGAGGGGAGGGGAGGGGAGGGGAGGGGAAGTGAGGGGAGGGGAAGTGAGGGGAGGGAAGTGAGGGAGGGAAGTGAGGGGAGGAAAGTGAGGGGAGGGAAGTGAGGGGAGGGAAGTGAGGGGAGGGAAGTGAGGGGAGGGAAGTGAGGGGAGGGAAGTGAGGGGAGGGAAGTGAGGGAGGAGGAGCAGGGACTGACAGCGGCGAGGGCGAGGCAGAGGGCAGCGAGGACGAGCATGGTCCTGTTGGGCGCGCAGAACCGCCAGAGCTTGCGAATGGCGTCCCACAGCTCGCCAGGGGCTGAATCTCCTTCCGCGCTCCCATTCTCACTCCCTTTGTTATCCCCACCGCTGCTGTTATCCTCGTTGCTGCTACCATTGGCCCATTTCCCGCGTGCTGCCTTCCGTCCAGCCAGCTGCTGCAGGTCCCACCAGCTCCCGCGTGGCAGCACGGCGCGCAGCGCAGCATTCGCTGGAACCCTGCGCATTGCGCGCCTAAACGTCTCCGGGAAACCCGCTGATTTATTCAGCAATACCGCATTCCGCCGATCCTCGTTCTCCTCTGGCTCAGTGTCGTCTACGAGGCGCTCGGAACCCTTATTTTGCGGTTTCCGTTTCCGCATCGTCGTAAGGAGTCCGTTCTCGTCCTCTATACCTGTTTCGGAGGCCATCTGTACCTTTTCGAAGGCACTGATTCGTAGGACATCAAGCGCCGTCAGGATATAATTACGATACAATTTCAGCTAACTAGAGAACCTTCGGCTTGGGGCTTCCCGCGTTGCCATTCCGTCATTTTCAAGTACAACATTTCGCCTTGGTTGGAGTCATAACCTGAATTTCTCTCTCCGTGCGGTCACTCTGTTTCCATTCCAGCAATTTCGCTTGCGAAAGGCAGGAGTTGCCTAAAGTGAAGCGAATGGGTTGAATGCGGTGGAGCGAATGAACCACAAGCAATGTCCACTCATGTTCTCTCCGCTTCGCGCAGCGCTGTGCGTAGCGCTCCGCGCGCCCCCTGTTCTGCGAAAACCTGCCAAACCCCGCGCGTTTGCCGCGGAACCAACCCAGCCCGGATTTCACGAACCAATCATCGTCACCCCGAATCCATTCCGACCGTGACGAAACCAATCTAGTTGGCGAAATGATGACCCAGATCAGTCAACACTTCGCTGAGGTCGCCAAATTTCACGGAACTCAAGTTCATCAAATCCACCAACACTTGTGCATCAAACCCCAAGAGGACCCACCCCACCCCATCATCCTGACAGAGGCACTACCAAGAGCCCTCCCCTACTGACACACAGCCGCTCTTTCAGCACTTGAACTCTTGAAGTTAGAAACCCTTACTCAACAGCGGCCACGTAGCCGTTTATCTTAGCGCGAGCCGTTTATCTTAGCGCGAACTTCCGACGCACGCGGCTCGAAACTGAGTCGATTTTGTGGGGACTTCCCCTGTTCCACCGTCGTCAGCGTCACTTGCGTTCCCTTGCAGTACCTCTCCTCTCCAGGCAATTTGCTCGAATGCAAGCATATAAGTCAGCACATTCCCAGCCGACATTTCAACCTCATAGCTCAACGATTTCGACGCCGAATACATACTTTACGGTTTCCAACCTCCCTTGTGCAACTTGACTTCTCGTCCGCGGGTGCAATAGTTCCTACCACTATCCTTCTGAACTTCACGACTTCCAACTTCGGCCCTTTCAAGATTGAAGCTTCTGCTGATGTTTGCCAAGTTGCTCAAGCATCAAGACTTCCATCTTAAAGGTACGCCATAATATTTATCTTCAACCGATTAATTGGTCCCGAGCGTACCTTTTTTTTTCGCTTTTGCACGTTGAACTTGTACTGATTTGCGTTGTTTATCCCTTTTATGCAGAGAGGTGGAATAAAGACATTCAACGCTCTCAAGTGTCATCGGAGCTTTGCTCTGCACTCATTGCGACGGCGGCTGCACTTCTACTCGACATCCGTCCGTCACCCTGCTGCTCGACGGTCCGAACCCTCTCAAGTCGGATCGGACTTCGCCAGCCTACTTTCTTTATCAGCCTTCCATTTCCAGCTAAGTATTCTCTTCACCCTCATCGTGTCAGCTATTTAATCATTCATCCGTACTGGTTGTTGGTCTTCCAGCCAAAGTTCCGCCCGTAGAGCTCCCTGTCTCTTCCCCTAAGTTTGGGTTAGTCTCTCTTTAGGTCTAGTGTCAGCGTCGCCAAGTCATGCATGCGTCAGTCTGTCTGAGCTCTACGGTGCGGCTGCTTTGGCTGGAATACCCCCTTCCTCCCACCCCAATCTATGTTTTCGTCGCGTTATTTCGTTTATCGCACCCTTTCGTCACTGTGAACTTAACGTCTTATTTTCGTTTTTCTGGCAGTTTCTCTGCTACTACGCTCCATCACCTGGGAGAAGCAAGGCCCTCGGATCTCAACATGCCAAGTTCAAGACTTGAAGCCAGCAGTCTGAACGAGGACTTCAAGCAAAGGTGTCAATCAACACTCAAGTTCTGAGCTTCGATTGCAGATAAGTATCCTTTCCTTGTTTCTCCCTACTCCATTTTCCACTCATCATTTCCATTATTGTTTTTTTGTAATGCTGGAGCGCTTACCACAACTGCTATAGGAGCCAATCCCCTTAGATGGTTTTTTATTTAATCAGGTATTCCTTCTGGTGAGTCCCTCAGGTCTCTATTGGTATTTCTTGGTACTTGGCTCTTATAGCAGTGGTGTTAAGTGCTTTCGCATTTTGTTCCTGCATATCCGTACCACCCGTCATGCACATGCTTATTTTCCTTGCTCGTTTGGACCTTAAACTGCTGCATGTACTCGCTCTCCCTCCTCTATCTTTATATGGCAGAAGCTCTTTCTCCATGGAGGCCATCTTGAGCAACGCTACGCTTAACACGTCAAGGCATCATCCAAGCGACTTCCTCGAGTCAACATTGGAGCAGCGGGGTCAACTTTCAAGCGTACAATCGCACATCTGGAGCTAGCACTCAGTCAACATTCAGTGTGGAGATAAGTACTTTCAAGCCTCGCCTCTGGTGCTGCGTTTTTGCTTGTTTTTTTCTGCTATTTTGATCTTTAACACCATGCTTTCGGTTCCATCATGGCATGCGCCTTTTCATGCATGTATGCATGAGCGCTAGCCACCGTCACCACATGAGCCATTCCCCCTTAGCTGGTCAGGTATTTGGTATAGGGTACTCTTCTTTCTGGTAAGATCCTCAGGTCTCTTAAGGTATTTTTCTGGTACCTGGCTCGTGTGGATGTGGTGGCAAGCGCTCATACATCTATGCTACTCCATCCTTCCCGATCATGCATTTGGATACACGCCTTGATCCTCCATGGAGCTCCTAGTGCCACTTGTATCAACACTCTCTTTCCAAACTTTTCCTTTGATTTGCAGGCCTTCTTTTCAACTCTGTGTGGTCAACTGAGAGACCTTGCCTGACAGCATTGAAGAAACGCTTTCTACCAAGTCCCTTTAAGAATTTCAAGCCTTGGGAAGGTAAAGCTCCTAACTTTCAGTGGTTAATGTTGTTTAACTTTTCTACTTTCACTGACAACTCCTTGCTTTCTTTCCACAGGTATCTCGCTTCTCAACATCCACTCAAGCATCCCAACATACAAGGCCCCCGAGGTAATGCTCCTGACTTCTTGTATTGTCTTTTGTTGGTTGTTCTGTTATAACCTTGACTGATGTCTTCTTGTTTACGTCCGCAGGTACCTTACCCCTCAAGCCCTTCAACAGTCATTTCCCTTTCAAGACCTTCAACAATCAAACATCCCAACGCCAAAGGCCCCCAAGGTAATGCTCTTGACTTAACATGATTCTTGTTCATTTTTCGTTTTAGCCTTTGACTCACGTCTCCTTGTTTTCTTTTCGCAGGTGCCTCACTCAGGTCCTTCCAACTGCCACTTGCTTCCCTTGACCTTCAACAATCAGCATCACATCCCAGCATCCAAGGCCCCCAAGGTAACGTTCTTGACTTCTTGAATTGTTTATTGTTTGATTTTCGTTTTAAGCTTGACTGACGTCTTCTTGTTTCCTTTTGCAGGTACTTCAACACTCGAGCCCTTCAACGGCCTCTCGCCTCTCAAGACCTTCAACAAATCAAGCATCTCAACATCCAAGGCCACCAGGGTACTTGCTTTGACCTTCAGCTGTTCGTTTACTTTCACACCCAGACTGACGTTTGCCTTTTCACCCTGCAGGGATTTCAGCAGTGGAGGTTTTCGACCAACAGTTTCCACTCAAGACTCCTACCAGTGCAAGGTTGTGAGGTCATTCCACCATCCTAAGAACGAAGGTACATATGTCTACTTCCTGCTTTCTTATTTTTTACTTCTGCCAAGGTACTGACATTTCCTCTTGCCTCCTGCAGGTGCCCCAGGAGGGGTTGGCGTGGCATGTGCTAGTGGCATGAACGCATCAAGGCACGAGGAGCTAATGCATGGTTGAGAGCACCCTTGGGTTTGGCTAATCTCGAATCCGGGCCATACACAATGGTTCTGTCCGGTAGCAGAGCTGACTGCAGCAGCTCTGCTACTTGATGGGGGTCCAAAAGGACAGAACCAGCGTGTGCATATGGGCTCCCGCATGTCTTGATACTAGCAACCCTGAGAGGATGGCTTTTAACCTCAACAGCTAGTCCTCCCTGTGGTGGGGGAGGATGGCTTTATGCCTCAACGGCCAGTCCTCCCTGTGGTGGGGGGGGATGGCTCAATGCCTCAACAACCAGCCCCAAGGCATGTGACAGTCAAACTATACCCATGTGAGTTGTCCAGTTATTGCACTTCCGTTCATTGACATCACTTCCTGATGATTAACATTTTGGGCTGCACTGTGCGATTCAACATGATATCTACAACAGCAACTTAGTCACATTTATTGCCGGATTAACACCCCATAGCTGTTGGGTGTTCAAGGAATAGTATCAAGTAGAACGTTGATGTTCTGTACTCTTGTCTGGAGATCTGGAACTTCAGTTTTTAATTGTGTCGAATCGTAGAGAGTATACGCAGTTGTATCTACCTAGTTAACATTTGTAAATATGAACGGATATCTTCTTTCCTTCAAAGTTGTAAGATCAATCGTTTATCACTTGCAGAACTAGACACTTCACTGGCCTGCTCTGAAAAGTAATCAAGTTATTCGTTACAACTTCCTGTGCCGACCTTCGTTATTCGTTTCTCGATGATGGCCAATATCCCACGACTTCGATTGCTAATCTACCTTTTCCGCGAACGACGCCCTTACCCTACCCTCATTCTTCGCTAACTTCTCTTCGCAAGTGATAATCGTATCGCGGGCTACCCCGCTGCCGCATCGCACCACCGCGTCGATCCCGCCAGTTGCGATCCCCTGGCGACTCATGCGACCGGCGTGGGGCACATGCGAGTCGATCGGCGGAGTCGCATGCGAGGAACTCGCTATCGTGCGATCGAATGATCAGATCCGCGCCAACCGCGATTGTCGCAGCACCAGGAGG